TCCACGTTTCAATATCTACACAATGTGTTTCATTATCGTCATTTATTGTATTTATAACAATTCGTCATTATGTTTACGAATGACGTGGCTGTTCAAATAAAACTGTCGGCAACTTAAAGACACATTATGGGAGATTCGATAACGAGTTGGCAGTTCTCACTATAATAGTTAAAAACTAGATAATGTAAAGGCAATTTGCTGAAAATTTCATTCAAATTGATCCACTATGAACCGAGAACTAAGCGATTGAAATTTCCGGCTAGCCTTGATCATCATTACTAAAGTCAATACGATAAACACCATAGTCTCGATTATCCATTTAATCGTTATATCCCGAAGGAAAGTTATGCAGTAAATCGGCTCATAATCCACTAAAGATCACAGGCTAGCGATGCCATCTAGAGTTGATTATGGTCTGGATAGGTTAATTAATGTCTAATTAATAATTTAGATAACATTTTAGGCCTAAAGAACAGTGGCGGCGCCAGCCGTCGATGATTGGAGGGGCAAAGCTGGGGCAAAGTCCAAGGTTAAGGGGGCAAAGGCAAGAGCTTCAACTAGGGGTAGGGGGCCTCCCCCCAAACAATTAGAAAAACAGATTGCCGGAAATTCAGCCTGGCAGTATTTCAGACACTGATCGATGAGGTAAAGTGTCAAACGAACGGACTTGCGAATCACGACGAAGCCCACTCACGAGCGTCAAAGTAGGGAGTCCTCCCCCAGAAAATTTTGAAAAATAGACTGCCGGAAATGCTGTCTTACAGTATTCTGTCAGGCACCGATCGTCGAGATAAATAGATCTGCGCAGATACCGTTCGTCGCGTGATCACTAGTTTATCCGACTAGAGAACAAAATGTCAAACGAACGGACTTGCGAACCTCAACGAATTCCCCTTGTGAGCGTCAAAGTAGCGAGTCCATTGGGGACCTCGCCAAGAGAATTTTGAAAAATAGACTGTCGGAAATGCTCTACAAAATACAAGTTTATGACTGAGTGGGGATGTGGGATTTATTCACCGTAAAAGGTATTGATTACCGAAACGTTTCACAAATACTTTTTTTTTATTTTCTAAAATTATTGGGGGGGGGGGTGCAAACAGAGGGCAGACCAGATTAATGGGGGGCAAATGCCCCCCTTGCCCCCCCCCCCCTGGCGCCGCCACTGCTACAGAAAGACCTGCAATAGGCAGATTTAGCTCTTGCATAATGCATATTTAAGAAATTAGATGACATATCTATGCAAAGATATTTCTATGAACTGAAATGAAATGAGATTTAACGTTCTACTTTTCTACATATACTGGGCTAATAAAGACGGGCATACGCCATTTTGCCTGGACAACGACACCACGACCTTGTCTTATGTCGACGTATACTCTTGTGGCAAGGGTTCTTTTCAGTGTACGCAATTATGTACAAATTGACCTCAGTTATTCGTTCCATCACAATTACTAGACACTGTCCTTGCCAAGCCCTCCGACCATCACATCAGAAAATCCAGAGGAAATCTTTCGGCCAACACCAGAAGCGAACCCGAGACATCCTGGTTAACGAGCCAGCGCCTTACCCATTGTAGCTCCCACATAGATAACGATGATAATGATGACAGCTACCTGCGTACAAAATCGCGCTCGTGATACTGGTGGAACCAGAACAAGAAATTGTCAATTGAAAAGGTTAGACACTAGCAGTTAAAATGGAAAGACACAATAAACAAGTTTGACCTATATCGTTAAAATGCGTCGCCACTTTAAAGATCATGGATTATGTCAGTAGAACATTATTTAATTAAGGACAGGTTTTGAACTGGGGCATCAGTTGGGGGTGGGGCTGGGGGCATTTCCCGTTTGGTAAAATAACAATTATTGATCTGCGTGATTCGCTTACAGTTTGGTCGGTCAGACTTAAATAGTGTGTCAGTTTTGAAACAAATCTGACAGTACAATTTTACTCTTAATTTAACAGTTTCTTAGCGAGGACATGCCAGATGGGGCCCCCAAATTTATGGATATATTGACGTTTCATTATCCACTGTGGATCGATCCTCCGGTTTCCTCCCACTGCTAAAGACCCCTACGCGCAAGCGAATTATTGAAATAGAAATAAAATTAGTCCCGAAATGACCTAGTTTGTGTCAAGTGGACGTTACACCCCCCCCTCTCTCTCTCTCTCTCCCACTTTCAGTGGGCCCACAGATACCCATTGACCTTAAGCCAATGGCCTACTATTCTTATTGGTACATGAGTTCCAACTATATCTCCTGAGCTAAGAGACATCTCTACTGTAGATATAATTATATATCAAAGAAATGATATCATCAGTTTCTACTTTAATGTATGATTAATGATATGTATTACATCTACTTGATATGATAATGAATAAAATAAAATCGATTTATTACTTAAAGTAAGACTTCCGCTATAAATAATACAATTAGTCACAATCGCTTTGAAATCGATTGAAAGAAAACTGAAGAGAAAATTATTTGTAATAATAAGTACAGGAGAACCACACCACATGTAAACAATTACACAAGACAAACCTGCGGACAGAACACAATATACAAATCACTACAAACGCACATATCAGATCAAGTGAATGAATCTGGGGGCTACTTTTACTTGCCCAACTCTTGGAATATTACACATGTATGTAAAAAGTCAAGCCCCTAGCACTCTCGGAAATATATTTGTCAATCGGATTAAAATACAGATCTATATTTCGATTCGTTTTTTTATACTTTCGATGGCCTACACTACATGCAGATCTGACAAGTTATTATGAGAGTTCACGTCAGGGGTCAAACGAGCGGTTTTTGACGCTATGACCTAATGTTTTCATGGCCAGCACACACAGTCAAATTAAAACATTTGATTTAATCCTTAAGAGGCATTTAGCAATTGACTTAATATAACCTAGACTACTATAGAAGATTAGATAAATAGCCGACAGTTCTCGCTATATTAGTTGAAAAATAGATAATGTAAATGGAATATGTTGAAAATTTCAGTCAAATTACTTCACTCTGAGCCGAGAACTCATTTCAATAACAATGAAGCCTCAATTGTCATGGCTACGATAATAAACAAAGTCTCGATTATCCATTTTTACGGCTAATATCATCAAGTGCCATTGAACCGCAGATCGAATTAAAATCTGTTTAAAATCGAACCCATCAGATGGCATCGAAAGTTGGTTATGGTCTTGTAGTGTTAATTAATGTCTAATTATTTATTTAGATAACATTTAAAGATACATTCCCGCGTACACACTGGGTGATTTAATGGTATATATGGACTAAAAACATATTCAAACTAATTAATTTGTCATAATTTTGCTTCAAATCTGTCTCAAACATTGTAATTGCGAAGGAATGGCCTGCTATAACAATTCGATCAAACCAGGTCATGTTTACGTCACGTGACTTACCTCTCTTGGAGTCATTGCATACATAAGACGATGTTGCCTTTAATCGCTTAATATTTATTTTTAATATCGAATCCTAATTAAATTCTCGGATTATCCACTACCCGCGTCTTTTTCCGTCATTTTTGTCTCAGAAAGTATTGTACGTATAACTCTTCATAAAGTTTATCGACTTGTACATCAAGGGCTCAATTTTCGTGTGTGACCTTTGACATCACGCGTTCAGAAATTTCTAATCGTCGGGCTGTCGATTAGGAGAACCCTTACATTTTTGTCCTGTATACGCTCCATGAGAGTTTTTCGGAGAATCCAGTATTTTTCTAGTAAGATTGGATATCTCTACTTTCCATATATACCAAAATTACCATATTTTTATTGGAAATAACCACCCAATAAATACTTTTCTGGAAACCCATCTTTAAGGCATAAATAAAGACTTGCAATAGACAGATTTGGTTCGTGCATAATGTATGTTTAGTATGGATACAGTCACTATGTTAATTACACTGTAACGTTAATCAACAAGATTTCACAAGTCGTTTTCAAGCAAAACCCAATGTGCAGGTGAAAAAGAATTACTGTAATAAACATAAGGTTGTATCCATTTCAAACATTCTAGTCTTATAATATAAACTGTTATGCTATTATTAATTGATAACATACGACGCATATTAGGGATTCTTGTCTGGACTGATTCCTTTGTTCTCAACATAGCACACTCACACGCATGTGCTAACGTGTCATATGTTTAATATAAGGATGATTCAATGTGACCTATATATATATTTATTAGTTGACCTCATAGTGTGACTTACATACGGATTATACTTACCACAGTTATCCCAGTTAAACTGAAATCAATGGTTTAAAACTTTGCATCAATATCTTGGTATATACCAATTTAATATGCTTTAAACAAATCAATCACTGTATACATGCTAGAGTCTACTACATGCTGATGTCAATAACAAAGGTATGGATATATTCATGATCAACAATATAGACTGACAATAGACTATTGCAGTGAGGTACCACAGGGTTTTGTTATAGTACCCCAAATTTTACCAAATAGTGTTATTCAATATGTAGGCCTACTACGTAAAATAAAGTGGAAACCGGTTCAATCCAACTATAGCCTATATAAAAAATGTGAGGTCGTAAGGAAATATATTAAAGACTATAAGTGCTGAGGATAGGATCTGGCTACTTGTCAACGAATTACATAGTAAACAGAGGTGTTCATCAAGGATCTATTATAGAACCTTCAATTTTTCCTAAGTGTATTTTTGAATTGTACCGCGGAAAGAAAAGGAGGAGACGGGTTCATTTAAACACTATATACAGAATATGAGTCTGTGTGCACATATAGTACAGACGTGCGACTGAAGATAGGATATTGCTTCTCGTCAACAAATTACGTAACAAAGACGACAGTGGCCGGGTTACTACAAGGTTCTATTATAATACCGTAAACGTTTCCTAAGTGTATTACAGGATTCGATTCAAAACTCTTAAAATAATCTGAAGCTATCAACGAGATTGTATCTGTTCAATTATTTTTTGTTTATTTTCAGCGTAATGAGCAACAGACAGTCAGGAACGCCAAATGGCGGTAAAATACAACATGTAAAACTGGTTTTATTGGGAGACCAGGGAGTGGGAAAGTCTAGTATAGCCCTTAGATTTGTTCGTGGAGAGTTTAATGAAAATAATGAAGCCACTGTTGGAGGTAAGACTTTTGATTTTGACTGAAAGGAGTGTAGGGCGATGGGGTGTTTCGGGTTGGGATGGGATGGGATGGGATGGGATGGGATGGGATGGGATGGGGGGGGGGGCGTCAGGAGCGGTGGTTAGTATGTCAATAAGCAGTAGCCTACTGCACTAACTACCGAACAAACCAGAGAACACCACCGAAAGTGTGAAAGTGAGTGGTAAATACGGGCAAAGAGAAGGGTCCTTTCTGATAGCCTATACAGTTACGAAATCTATAAATTTACGTGTTAGACGAGCGGTTTTTAAGATGGGACATTGATTTGGACTGTCAGAATGCGCCTGATTGCCTCTCAAAAGACGGAAGGACAGTAGATTGAGAACGGGAAAAGACATTCACAGCTCCTATTTCAATGAAAAAAGACACACTTGTGCCTATTGAGATGGGGTTTCTTGTCATTTTTGTCTTATGAAACTTCCCCGAAGTAGCTCTTAGTTTTAAACATCTGTGATTTTTGTTATATGTCGAGTTTCATTGAACCCTTCCAGACTCCTGGGATTCTGTCAAATTTTAAATAAAATAAAATTAAGATTTGTATAAATTGTACCAGTCTTTTATCAACATTCAGCACTTCTTCTTGTTTTGGTTTCAGCGGCATTTTTAACCCAAACTGTAAATATTAAAGAGCATTCTATGAAATTTGATATCTGGGACACTGCTGGTCAGGAGAGATATCACAGTCTAGCACCAATGTATTATAGAGGAGCCCAGGCTGCTGTTATAGTTTATGATGTCACTGATACTGTAAGTATTGTGTGTGAAATTGATATACGCTTTTGTTTTCCAAGATTATTCTAAGGCTATATTGAATTGATGCATTTTCGGGTGGCTTACGGATTCCCCCCCCCCCCACCCCCAATTTTGTTTTAAATATAGAAGTCTTTTCCAGATTGGGATTTTGGACAAACTCATATTTGATTGGCCCCATACACGATGTTTTACGGGGGATAATTAAACTCCTGTTCGGTCATCCAAAAATTGTTACCAGGTGCTCAATCTTTTGCCTAATTATAGTTATTTCTTTTCCTCGCCCACAGAATACTTACGAACGAGCAATAGCGTGGGTGAAAGAATTACGTCAACACGCCAGTGCACAGATTACAATTGTTTTGGCTGGAAATAAAGCCGATATGGCACCAGAATCGCGAGCTGTTCAATCTGAGGTAAGTGTCAGTTAAAATGTGCTAGACTTTAAAATCTTTCCTCTTCTTGCATTTACAGTATTGCATATGCAATTTCCTTCTTATAACAAGCCGATCAAACTGGTCTATAATTTTCGTGTGCGTAAATATCTCGATTCAAGGGAGATAACAAAAGTTTTATAATGATCCAAATCGTATTGTGTCCCCGCAGCATTTGTGTACCAATAAAATGTTGATTGCTAAATTTGTATTAGAAAAATGGTTTTGGAAGAATTGTTCCAAATTTTACGAGAAAAATGGTTTTGGTAGAACTGGTTTACATGTCGGAGAATAGGGATTGTATTGATTTACTTTGCAAGGAAGGTCCACAGCGTTAAGAGATTTGATTCTCAATAATAATGCTAAACATTCAGAAGATTTGTGAGTTTCCACAAATACTAGTATCACATCTTTAAGATCTCTAATGTCTTAATCTGTAATAATAGTACCAAACTTGAAAGACTAACGACTGATTTTCTGTAATGGAACTAAACCTTTGAAAGATACATTAATGGCTTTCCATTAATGGTACTAAAGCTGTTATGAGTCTATAATGCTTTGACACATACGATGGTTTTCAAGAATGGTTCTAAAAGTTCAGATGATATAATAATGCTGATAACTTGAGTGATACCTTGGGTATCAAGTAATGATGCAAAATCTTAAGTAGTTTATGGCGTTTTTCAAAAAATGTTGCTAAAGCTTTCGGGAATAAGATGAGCTTCCAGAAATGATGCCTTACCTATAGGGTGAACAGTAGGTTTTCCAATCTATACTAATATTTGTGACTTTTGTTTGTTTGTCTGTCTGTTCGGGGTTGGCGGCTACACTAGGGCTGTCCCGAAACTGAAATTTGTATAGGGGCAGCTCGGACCGGGGAGTAACATAGGCTAGGTAGCGTGCCGCCGGTTTCGGAATTATACTACTTTCAACCCATGCAGTAACGGGTTATCCGCTAGTAATGATATAAAACCACTAGAGTTGCAAGATTTCTGAGATTGGTGCTTAATTAGGAGATACATTGAATGTTAGATAATGATGCTTGATCTTAAGGGATATATAAAATGAGAGATGGTGATACCAAACCTCCAGGAAGATCCGATTGGTGCACGTCCAATAATGTCCGCAACATGTTTCCGATAATGATGGTGTTCTAAGCATGATATTGTACCTTTAGGGAGATATACAATATTATGTTTCCAAACATAATTCTAAATTTTCTAAACTTTTGTAGTAAAGGATAAGTTTCTGATAATGATACTAAATATTTCAAGGAATGATAATAAACCAGGGAAACGAACGGTTTGGAGCATGATTTAACGTTAAAATCTGTGATTTTATATTCAGGATGCTCGACATTTTGCTGAGAATAATGATCTACAATTTTTAGAAGCTTCTGCTAAAACTGGTATGGCTGTTAGCGAGATCTTTATGGCAGTTGGTATGTATAATAGTTTACGTCATATTATACTTTTGTCCTCTGTAAAGCTCTTTCTTTGCGTGGTTGCGCCTTGCTAGAGGTGTAGGACTGGGCGCCTGGCAGGGAACAGCTTTTTGTGGTTCGGATATGACGAGAAAAACACAAGTGCCCGTGTACATATTGGCGTACACGTAAAGGAATCATTTACAATTTGAATTCGACAGCAGCACACTGTATTGTATGACGTATGCCGTCTTCATTATAAAGTAGGACGTTAAACCCCATTGCATTTCGTTTTTACTGTATTTTCTTTTTTTTAGCCACTAAAATAACAACAAATTTAGAACACGGGGGACACATCGACAGTAAAAAAGGAATACAGCTTAAAGGTCGTACTAACAGTGACGCGAAGAAGAAAAAGTGTTGCTAAAAAGGGTTCTGTGTGGTGTAAAAGCTTTAGGGGACTGTTAACTTATAGAGAACACTTTTCTATGGTGTATATACAGTAATTGATTTGTATATAGTTAGTTTCTATTTTTGTAAACCAGCAGTGTGGCTTTTTCTAAACAAGTAGTGTGGCTTTTTGTGAAAAAGACTCGACCAAACCTTTTTGAAAAACAACATTGTCCTTTTATAGTGTGTGTGCATTATGTCTTTTATATCGGTTAATGAACGATTTTAATTGGTGAATGATAATTGTTTATGATGAACTCAATTAATAATAAATATGTTTATATTATCCAAAATCTAATACTTCACATCATATATAATTTGTTGGGGAGTGTATTAAGGATAATTATTGAGGATAGGGCGGGTCTATTTTATATACTCATTATTTGTTATATTTCTAATAGTGTGCACCAAATTTAAACAACTGCATTTCTTTACACAGGGTAAACATAGATTGTATAAACTTTGGCATTTATGTTTAACTCGAACATTGCTTTTCTCGAATAAAAATACAGAGCCGTGAACATCGACATAACGGTTTGTAACTGTATTATAATGATTATCACCCAAAATGTTTTTATGAAACATTTTTTTTTTATTGTTATTATATTTTTATATAGTGCATATTATAAGGTGAAATAATAAATCGATTATGGTATTAATATTAAATTTATGTATTTGATCCAATGAATCGCACTTTTGTATATTTTGTACATACTCTAGAAGCAAAGGATGTTTATTAACAATGTCCTGTGTGACATCTACACTAGATCTAATGACGTTTTATGTGTGAATCAAAGCCGATGGATCAAAATAAATAAATAAAACGTTAAAATGTAGATAAAGTGTCGGATGTATTATTTTGATTTTCTCTTTATTTTGGAACACCAAACCCATAAACAGGCCTTGAAAAAATAAGTGTGGTCTTAAGAGGGATGGTCCCATATCCCGAATATGAATTTTGTGTGATGCCCTAATAGTATGTATATACGCTGTCCGGGCAAAATTTCCCTCATAGCACACTGCATGGCGTATGCCCGTCTTCATTAACCCAGTCGGTACATGTCGAATGGTTAACACGTGCGCGTTGCATTATGAGGTCTTTCATTGAGTCAAGTGGCGTGGTTTTGATTCCCCGTTTGTACGTGACAAGGAGTAGCGTTGCCTGCCAAACCTCGTTGTGTTTCTCCTGCTTGCTTCCACTGCTAAAGACACCTACGCGAGGGCAAAGGATTGAAATAGAATTGCACCAAATGTTAGTTCCGAAACATCCTCGGTATCCTCGGTGGTCTCATTCCGTTCTACTAGACCTACCCCTGGGTTAATCTATGAGGGAGGTAGGGGCACGTTTTCAAATTATTTGCCCTTGCAAAGGAAGTTGGCAAAGGAAAGTAACTTTCATCGGTTAAAGTAAGAAAACCCAAAGGCCCTCCTTCAAGAGACAAGGTTAGGAGTTAGCCAGAAGGTAGCCCTAATTATATAATATTATATTAATGAAGACCGGACGTTTATATAATAATATATATAGGCTCAAGAGTTTTATTCAGAATGGTTCGTTCGTTCGTTTCTGAGGTTTTACGTCCACTTCGACCAAGGGTGATATCGTAGACAAGTTATTCAGAATGTGTGTGAAAAAGTGTAGCTTTATTTAACGTCCGCTTCCACCGAGGTGATATCACAGACAACTTGCCAAGTATAAGTTCAATAATAATAAACATAACAGAATGAAACATTTCAGACAAAGAACGAATAGTGTAATAATAATAACAAAAATCAACCATATAGATTTGAAATCAGCGAAACATACTACATATTTTAATAATACAATTAAATATAAATGAATTAGAAATATATTATTTACATATATCATTCAGTAAATGGACATGAATATGGTTATCTACTCCTTATAAAATCGAAAGCGAAAACGACTGGTTTTTAAACGGTTTTTGGTTGGTTCGTAGACTTTAGCTACAATCAAGGCCAGGACAGATAATTTGAAATCGTGGAAACCCTAGTGGAGTAGAACGGAATGAGACCACTGGGGATATCGAGGATGGTCCCGAAATGACCTAGCTTGTGTCGAGTGGACGTCAAATTCTCTCTCTCATTGAAATTCTGTGTAATCACCGGGTTGCAAAATTCTTATAAATCTAGGATCTTCTAATTATAAAAACATTTATTTTGAAACACCAACATTTTAACTCGGTGATTCTCAAACACTGTGCCACGGCACTTCTGTGTGCCGCAAGATTTTCCTAAGTGTTCCGCGAAATTTTGAACGGCACTCTAAGAATATTTCCCACTAAAGAAGCCAGCTATTCGACTGATGAAATTCGAAACACTGCAATAAAGCAAGTTCATAACTGTGTTTTCTTTATTTAGTTTGAGTCATTCTATGTGTCTATAACTAGTGTGTGTTTACGGTTGTATGCCGTCTATGACTAGCCATGTTTTTATTTTGTAATATTCAAATATGTATCATATATATTTAGCCAGATGTGCCACAATGTTTTGCTGTTGGCAAAAAAAGGTTGAGAACCACTGCTTTAACTTGTCAAGTTGGTTTTACAGTTTTTATCTTATCATAAACCACCATAAATTTGATTGTGAAATTCAAAAGTTATCAAAACAACAGCAAGTACATCGGTACTACAGGGCTAGATCTATTTGTTAAGGCCAACTCAATTTTTCTCAAGGTCGCTAAAATGTAAAAAAGATTAGGTTACGTGATTGTTGGCGAGATTGTAGGTTAGGGTAAGCGTTAGGGCTAGGTCCAGGGTTAGGTTTAGGGTTGGGATTATAGTAGCGCTAGCCCTGTTTACATTTCGTGACCTTTGACCAACCATGAATTTGGCCATATAGATCAAAGGATAGTGATAAATGAATGATACGGTCGGCTAAATTTTTCTTCGTAGGTCAAGAGATGTAAACAGGGCTAACGCTAATCCCAACCCTAACCCTAACCCACAATCCTGTAAGTGGCCTGGTAAATAGATCTGACCCATTTTGTCTCTGGACTATTTCCGGTGCCCATTGTAAAACCAAGGTGAAAAGCAATATCTACATATATATGCTCTCTAATTGTTTTTGTGATGAATGGACAGATTACAAACTGCATATTTAAGCATAAATATTGTTCTAGACATTTCCATATTCAGTCGAGTCCAAACCCTTTGTAGATTTTGCACATAATTATACCAAGACAATTTATATTTACTGCCAACATCTCGCCTTAGATTGTCATAGATATATTAAGAACAACGACATGCAATATCTACACTTACTGCTTTTCTCCTTCGTTATACCAGGGCAATTTACATTTACTGCCAAAGCCGACACTGTATATCTCTTGTAGATACTGCCCTCTTCCTTTGCACAGCAGTACTCCAATTTTGGTAAAGTTTTAGGATGTCATTCATTTCACCCAACGCTACCTAAAACCACAAAAAAAACCTTTCTTGCAATTTTGGAGGGGTTGGCCCCCTTTTTTCATAAATTGAATGGACTAATATCATATTAGTCGGACTTGTAAAACTCTGGAAGAGTTGTTATATTACCGGCGTTTTGGCTGAAGTGAGGAATAGGCCAATGAAACAATCTGCTACGGCGACTTCTTGTCGTGCCATGCACGGAACTGTGGGCAAACCACTAGAAACGCCAACGCTGATTGATTAATCAATGTCTGACGTCATAGGGTCAACAGCCGGTCGTACGACCCCTGACACGACCTTCGAGTACAACTTGTCAGATCTTCATGTAGTGTAGGCCGTCGAAAGTATAAAAAAAAACGAAACGAAATATAGATCTGTATTTTAATCAGATTGAACCGTTTCATTTAATGCTGAATTGATAGTTTTAAACTGTCCTGAGATCATTCTACAGGAAGTACAGCAATTTGACCTGAAGGCGATGGTTGAATTTTGTTTATCTTGCTTATATACTATTCAAAAAAAGTAGGGGATATTTGATTTTTAAGTGTTATTAAAGTCATCTAATGAAACTGACGAAGAAACAAATGACAAAATGAAATGAAGTTCACATTCATCGATTTATTCCAAATGATCGTTAGACTAAGTAAGGCACAGACTGACCATTATAAGGGTAAAATGATACCCGGGGTCAAACAGCAAAGTTACCACAGCATCACAACCAAGTCAGTAACGGGTAAATCCTCCTCTGTTTGCCAAACAAGCATTGATCCGACGTGGCATACTCCTAATGAGACGTCAAAGGTCATTTTGGTCCAGATTGTCCCATTCCTGTTGCAACGCAGCAGCAAGTTCTTGGACATTGGCAGGACGTTGTTGACGTTGACGTAACCTCTGTCCAAGCATGTCCCAGACATGCCCGATGGGGGAGAGGTCGGGACTCAGTGCTGGCCAAGGTAATGTGGTGATGTTCTGTTGTTGGAGGTAACCTGTAACGATCCTGGCCCTGTGACATCTTGCGTTGTCATCCTGGAAGATGAAACGGCGGCCATGACGTCGTGCGAACGGCACAACATGGACTGCCAAGATGTTGTCCCGGTAGTACTGGCCTGTAACACGCCCTGCAACAACATGTAAAGCCGTTCTTCCAGCAACAGTGATGCCTCCCCACACCATAACAGAACCACCCTCAAATCGATCATGTCTGATGACGTTAACGTCTTGGAAGCGCTCGTTTCGACGACGCCACACCCTCCTACGTCTGTCCAAAAAATCAACAGTGAACCTTGACTCATCTGAAAACATCACATTGCTCCAGCGTCGATTATCCCAGTGTTGACGATCCCTACACCAACGACGTCTTGCCTGAATGTGATGATCTCTCAAACAAGGGATCACGCGAGGACGTCGGGCGCGAAGGTGACCACTATGCAGTCGATTCCGAATCGTCTGGCCACTCACTCTCACACCAGTGTCTGTTTGAAGACGAGCGCTGATCTGATTTGCTGTGATGACACGATTTCTCAAGGCCAAGGTACGGATAAATCGATCCTGGGCTTGAGTTGTCGCCCTTGGTCGACCTGAGCGTGGTCTGTCCTGTACATATTGTGTATCACGGTATCTGGACCATAGCCTGCTTATGACAGACTGAGAAACATTCATCGTCCGCGCCACATTCAATGCCACAATGACTGTAACATTCAAAGTCAGAGTCGTGCAAATCTTGGGTTGGACCCCCATGATGATCCCAAGCATCACCTGCATTCCATGCGGTAGCTATTGGTGCGTTTGGGCGTCACATGTAACTGGAAATGTTTCTTCTGTTAGGTTCTATAATGACTTTTTTCGTAGTCATTTGCATATTTTAGTATTATGCCCCCAAAATCAAATATCCCCTACTTTTTTTGAATAGTATATATGGCATAATCTTCTGTACTTTGTGATGGTATTTTGGTATCATAGCTATATATATAACGGGATAAATGACGGTGTTTAATCCACTGAGAGCTCTGGAAATCTGGTTAAATAGCTTTAAAGGTATAAAGTTCAGCTGCACCATTATTAAAACCATCTACAAGAGAAACAAAAGAAACATAATCGTGAAATGGTGTAATCTTAAAACTATTATTTGATATTCTTTTATATACGGTCATGTGGAATGGAAAGCATCCATAGACAATTTTCAATTTGAACAACCCAAAGATGTTTTGCCAAAGTTTCGTACAAACCATTGCTGAGATGCCTTTCATTGCCAACACATAGATCTAGTATTGGAAACAGTATGAAGTTGTATGGGTTATTAGAAAAAAAACCCTTATAATCTGAAAATGTTGATTTAATTTGACTAGCTTAGATATTTCAATTGGTGATCTGTAAACGCTTGGCAAGGAAAGGGAAATCAGTTTACTAATTTTATCCCTCGATATCTTGGCACAGATGCATCCATAAACATACACAGATGAACAATCACACGAAGGTTAAACAAATTCCGTATATAACCTAGTCCTGTATATCATCGAAAGCCTGTGAAACGCGGTCGAAAATGTTTGAAATTCTGTTGTGATGGGCGTTCATAAGAAATATTGGTGGACCCACTGACGGCAGGCTGATGTAGGCGACAAATTTATACGTCCACATTAAATGTCGGAGTGTAAAAATCCAAAGGCCTTCCAACTGTGGTAGATACGCGGGCTGGCTGAAAAGTTTCAAGCCTATCTGTTAAAGAAGACCTGTTCAAAGTCGATGGTTTCCATTTATTTGTCTACATAGTCCCCTTCGATGTGTACACACTTTTGTCAACGATGTTGCAAGGCCTGGATGCCGGCCAGGAAGAAATTTTCTTCAGCCACCCTAAAAAAAGTCGTTCACAGCTGACATGACGTCATCATTAGGAGGAAAATGAGGACCGGTTAGTTCCTTTTTTGATACGGTCAAATAATGATTATTCATTATTCACATACGTATTAGTACTTGCGTCATCGTAAAGCCTTTAGTTGAAAACGCACTCACAGTCGTTCTCAGTCAATCTTGGTTGTGCGCATGTCTAATATTATTGGCGACTGCTTTCGAATCATTGAAGTTATAGGACTAGTTTATTTTGACGAAAAGCTAAGGTTGAGATTATCTATAAGGGCCTAAAATTCCGGTATGTCAATTTACTAATCTTCCAAGGATCAAATTATGTCCATCACCTAATTAGACCTTTATTTACATGACAAGCTAAAAATCAACTCTGTAGACCCTTGGACGGCTTCGATACAGCTTGGATTTAAACAGTCGTCCATTTAAAATTAAATCAATAAATGGCCGACCAAGCTAACGTTCACCGTTAGTCATTGGCGTCACTACCGGGGTCTTCCAATGAAAGGCCTACTAAGCGAGTGCACCATAGCCATTGAGAATGTTACTTGATAATCAAGAATATAAAACAGGAAACTGTGAAAGTTCGTCAATTATAATACTCATTTGTCCAAAGGAGACCTCTAAAGAATCGTAAGTACACAGATATCAATAGAAATGAAATGAAATGGGGTTTAACGTCCTACTGTTCTGCTCCTAAACTGGGCTAATGAAGACGGGCATACGCCATACAGTGTGCTATGAGGGAAATTTTGCCCGGGCAGCGGCGCTACGGCTTACTCTTATATCGAATTCCAACTGCCAAGGGATCTTTTACGTGCACGCCAATATGTACACGGGACCTCGGTTTTTCGTCCCATTCGAACGACTAGACAGCAGTCCTTGTCAGGCTCTCCGTCCTGCATCACTGACAAGGGGAAACCACGCCGTAAAATCTGGATGAACTTTCTCGGCCAATGCAGGGATCAAACACCCGACCTCCAGGCTAGCGAGCCAGCGTCTTACCCACTTAGCCACGTGACTGAAAAATGTTAAATAAGGGTATTAAAATATTTAGACAGAGTTGGGCATTTACTTTCTTCAAATAAATTGCTTTCAATGGCTCTTCGTCGTTAAACTTGTTACTTATAAAATAATCTTAACTTTCGACTTCCTTTTTTGTTCTTACTCTGAGAACTCTGACCGGAGTAGATTAGCTACAACCCTTAGCTTGAGTTTATTTTTCATGACCACACAGCCCTTGGTCAAAATTTAATCCATTCGTCGTCGTGCAACAGAAACTTTTTTTCTCTTCTTTTTTTTTTTGGGGGGGGGGGGCTTCACATGTTTTGTAAATTATTAATTCGACATTCATTCACATGGCAAGTCCATTATCAACTGTCTAGGCCATTGAATGGGTTAGAACACCCACATCATTCAATTATTTATGGATAATCGAGACTGTGTTTATTATCGTAACAATGGTATTTGACAATTGTGACTATCTTGTCAAAAATTCAGTCATAAATTCGCTCAGAATAAAGTTATTCGATTGAAATATTTAATAATATATATTCGTTTTTCATTATCTACATATGAACTATTATAGCAAGAACTGACAACTGGTTATCAAAGGGGATTGGTTGGCCGAATGGTTAGCACGGGCGCGCTGTATCTTAAGGTCTGTCATTGAATCAACTGGCGTGGTTTCGATTCCCCGGTTGCACGTGACAAGGAATACGGTCGCCTGTCCAACCTCTTGTATTTCTCCGGGTCCTCCGGTTCCCTCCCACTGCTAAAGACACATACGCACAAGCGAATTATTGAAATAAAATTGAACCATGTGTTAGTCCCGAAATGACCTAGTTTGTGTCGAGTGGACGTTAACCCCCCCCCTCTCTCTCTCTCTCTCTCTCCCCTTCTCCCTCTCTCTCTCTGTTTTTCTAAATCTTACATAATGCATCTTTAAATTACTGATGTCAAACATTGCAAGTAACTTTGTGTACGAGTGAGTTATTATATCTTATTAATGATCCCAATGAAATATAGAATACTTACATTTAATGGTAGAAGGCACACCACAAAGACAACAGACAAGGTAATGATCGCTTTTGTTAGAGTAAACTCAGTTTGAGTGCCATTGTTCTTTATATTCATTTCTCTTTTTATTCTTAAACTGCTGGTGTTGTGATTAAAAGACGCATTTGTAATAACGTTTTTATAACAAATATATTACACACAATTAATACGGTTATAAACACCATTCCAGTAACAGCATACATGATTGGAAATACAGTCTCTTCCGCTGTTCCTGGTGTGACAGGAAACTTAAGCAAATCCTAATATTAGTATCATTGTTCTGGTTACTTGCGAAAACAGGTCCAAAACAATTAAACAAACCAGAGCACACAATACAGCCATAAACACCATGGGTAATCGAAGATGATAGTTAAACACATTACTAAAATACCAATATGGTTTATTCAATGCCAAATATCATTCCACGGCCAGTAAAACTCCTATTCCAACGGAATAAAGTGGGAAAAATGATGACGTAAACCCACTTACGGCGCACACCCAAAATGTCGAATATAATGAAAAGGTTATTAACAAATGGTAAATAGCGACAGCAAACGAGGAACTTATATTAACCACGGTTAGAACTAATAACATTTCCTTGCTTAAAGTCCATCGGTATCGCATATCTGTAATAGTACAATATAACGCTATAATGTTTGCTAGTAATGATGGTATCACAAAAACGGTAAATACGAACAATAACAAAACTTCTTGATTATTTAGAACCATTTTACCTTAAAAATACAAAACACTACAATCAGAAGTCCTATAATTGCGTTTGGTATGTATAATGGTAAGTGTATGTCTACCTTCTGTATTGGAACCAATTAGCAAAAATACTCCACGTCTCCGGTAAGCCACACCCCTATCTTCCCGTGGTGGCTAAAACAGATCTGAATTTCAATTCGAGACATATCGCAGCGTAACGAAATATTAATAACAGTACCCAGTGACGGGAGGATGTCCACAGTAAGCCTCCGTGATTCGGGTCAAAATACACTTATCGATGGTACCGGAAAATCTACGTATGATTCTGATTAAATTGATTATGATAATTGTATGTAATATATGACTAACACCACTAATATTTTTGATTATTCTACTGAACCATTGATTGATAACTTCCACTGTTTGACTAATGTAACTCTTTCAAGTAATAGTACTACTAATGATACTGAAACTTCCTTTGATAATCGGGGGGGGGGGGGCTGAATGGTTAGCGTGCGCGCGCTGTATCATAAAGTTTGTCATTGAGTCGACTGGCGTGGTTTCGAATCCCCGGTTGTACGTGACAAGGAGTAGGGTCGCCTGTCCAACCTCGTGGGTTTTCTCCGGGTCCTCCGGTTTCCTCCCCCTGCTAAAGACCCCTACGTGCAAGCGAATTATGTAAATAAAATTAAACCATATGTTAGTCCCGAAATGACCTAGTTTGTGTCGAGTGGACGTTAAACCCCATTTCTCTCTCTCTCTCTCTCTCTTTGATATAAAGATGTGTAAAAATGTTGAAAAATTTAAGATTAAACTGAAAACTCATTTATATTGAGCACTGAAGAAACCATAATATTCAACTGATGACATACTTATTATTTTGGGTGTATATTTAACTTGCAACTACATTCTATCTTATTTTGTGTGTAATTATAGTGTCCTTCCTATATTTTACGTGTATATGTTTTGTAGTTTATGCGTGACTTACTAGCAAGAAACTTCTCACTTTAAAATGCTATTGCATTTCGAAAGATTTTGAATTTATCCAGATATTACATGTATATATGTCTTTGTGGCTTAGGAGGGACTTATGGAAGATTAGTTTTTTGCAAACTAAATAAGTTGCCTCATTAAATAAAGTTTTTATTATTACTATTATTTTATTGCTTTGTTTTGTGAGATGTCAAATTTTTAGGGTCGTATATAAAGTCAAAGTTGATATATAACCGATCGTATGTTCAACGGTCTACAGTCTAAGCTAAAGATTATATGTTCTAAAAGAGACGGACTTCCTCACAATCTATTCGAAATGAAAAGATGACTTTTTTTAATTTGTCCCATCATCAAGCGAAATAACATCAACCAACACTACACATTATTTAACTGAAGTCAAACTATTTACCTTCTTCTACATGAAATTTTTGCGGGGTTGGATGGCCAAACGGTTAGCACGTCCGCGTTGTATCATAAGGTCTTTCATTCAGTCAACTGGCGGGGTTTCGATTCCCCGGTTGTATGTGACAAGAGCCTGTCCAACCGCGTTGCTTTTCTCCGGGTCCTCCGGTTTCCTCTCACTGCTAAAGACCCCTATGCGCATGCAGATTATTGAAATAAAATTGAACCATATGTTAGTCCCGAAATGACCTGGTTTGTGTCGAGTGGACGTTAGACCCCAATTAATTCTCTCTCTCTCTCTCTCTCTCTCTCTGAACATGAAATTGAATGATTCTAATAATATCCCGTTAAATCAATGAAGATATTGGCCTACGACCGTATGTCTCTGTCGTGTATGGGATATACAAACTGTGTATAAGGAAACAATTTGCTAATATTGATTAGATTTGTATTAAGCTAAAATCAAATGCATTTTTTTCCCCCATGAATTTGCTTGGAAACGTCAACTCTGCTCTTAATTGAAGTAGAATGTTTAAATTTGATGTAGATGTGCATAAGGTGAATGTCTTAGCTGGGCAAAACATTTTTTTCGTCTACGCTTTGGGAAATGAAATGAAATGAAATGGGGTTTAACGTCCTACTGTTTTGCTCCGAACTGGGCTAATGAAGACGGGCATACGCCATACAGTGTGCTATGAGGGTAATTTTGCCCGGACAGCGGCACTACGGCCTACTCTTATATCGAATTCCAACTGTCAAGGGATCTTTTACGTGCACGCCAATGTGTACACGGGACCTCGGTTTTTCGTCTCATCCGAATGACTGGACAGCCGGCCTTGTCAGGCCCTCCGTCCTGCATCTACGCTTTGGGACTTTGACTAACTTAAATAGAGAGTGCTGAAACTTTGTGTAGAGTTTAAAGGACAATATTGGTGTCAGTCATTATCACATATGTGATAGAGCTGGTTAAACAAATTCCAAATATAATTTTAACACAGAGATCATTGCTACGATAGCTGAGTAATACAGGTTTCCTGAATCGGAAGTGACGAACGCCAAAGGAAAACACGAGTCATCTCTCTATATAACTGACTGATGTGACGAGTGATAACAGATACATGGGCGATATTTGGAACGTGTTTAATTATTTCTATCACATATGTGATAATGACTGACACCAATATTGTCCTTTAACTGCCATAACAATCGACACGTTATATCGAAAGAGAAGCAATATATTTCCTTAAGTTCATAAAATCGCATTATTTTATTGAAAACTATGAGTGCAGGAAAGTGCCAAACTTAAAAGTCGATTTTCGCAGTATTTTGCAGATACTGCCTTTCTCTTTCGTAGGACAGCGTACATCTTATGTTGTAAAACTCGCGGTCATTGCTTCAGGGAACACTTACTCAATAAACCATATATATATATATATATTGTTATTCGAAGGACCACGCGCTTTAAAAAAAAAACACCCAAAAGTTCTGCCAATTCTAGTACGATCGATATGAAATTTGGCAGGCGTGTTGTTTTGACAATGCCGCGTCGATTTTGGATGCGACTTCACAATTCCAATATGGCACGGATACAAAACGGAGATTTCTATAGTCTCGGACACTCGGAACTTCCTAGTCTTTAACGTAGGATATTTGTCTCAATGATAGAGACTACGGTTTCTGTAGTTCCGATGTACTTGTTGTTGTTTTGATTACTTTTGAAATTCACAATAAAATTTATGGTGGTTTATGACAAGATAAAAACTGTAAAACAAACACCCGGTTAAAAACTTGACAAGTTAAAGTATTTTATATTTGGAAGACATTTGTTCTAGATATTTCCACTCTCGAGTCCAAACCCTTGACATAAATTTGTAGATTTTGCACATAGTTATACCAGGGTAATTTACATTTGCTGCCAACACCTGGCCTTAGGTTGTCATACAAGTACGAGGGTTAGGGTTAGGGTCATACTAAGGAGAACGGCAGTATCTACACTTACTGCTTTTGTCTTTAGTTATACCAAGGCAATTTTTACATTTATTGCCAAAATCTCGCTCTAGGTGGTCATAGATGTACTAAGGAAAACGGCATGCAGTGTCTACACTTACTGCTTTTCTCTTTAGTTATACCAGGGCAATTTACATTTACTGCCAAAATTGACACTGTATATCTCTGTACCTAATTGAGATACCAAAAAAACTAAAAACGTATTTTGGCCAAAAGTGTAGATACTGCCCTCTTCCATTGCACAGCAGCACGGAGTTAGAGCTATTCAAGCCTTCTTGAAGATGATGAGTCAGACGTTTGGTCGCCAAGCATATGGGGTCTCGGGTTCGCTACCAGTGTTGTCCGAGAAAGTTCGTCCGGATTTTTTGGTATGGTTTCTCCTTGTCAGTTGCATGGGACATCGTCAAATCGTTCGGATGGGACAAAAAATCCGAGGTTCCATCTAAGCACTGACGTAGTGAATAGTCCCAAAATAACCTAGTTTGTGTGCAGAATAGTAGGACTTTAAATCCCATTTCATTTTATTTTATTTCATGTCATAAATCAAAGTATGCTTCCTTGTATAGATAAAACTGACATATTAATTAATCAAAACATATTTATTCTCTAATCAATCAATGTAAACAGAAACATAAATCTCTCTTTCTCTAACAAAATGAAAATTAAAAAGTTAAAATATATTCGGTACCAGGATTTTATCATTTTAAAGGCACACTCCCAAGAATGTTTTATTTTAAAACAATATTTTATCGGGGATCTTGACTAGAATGTATACCGATACTGACCGACTAGAATCTTCAAGATTTTCCCGCCTGATTCTCACTTCGTAGAGGTGATGTCTGCCAGGCAAACACGAAAAGGCTTTCTAGTCGTACCGATGGAACGAAAAAAAACTGTGAAAGTTAAGAAGAAAAAGCGAATGGTTTGAAATTGAAGAAGAGTAGAGGGAACACGGTTGTCTTGTCAAAATTCTCATTCTCGCATTATAACGAAAGTATTATGTTGACGAACATAAATTAAAACATTCCATTCAACAGCATATAGGTCCAACAGTTAATTAGAAGATGGCCAATAAGATGAATGTATAATTCACAACTTGTCGTGAATTACTGTTCAAGGAACTACATATATAGTTTCAAAATTACGAGTTCCCCCCTTTATGATTTGATAAAGGTCTATAAGATTTAGGATATAGCAGACGTTACAGTTCTATATAAATAGCCAAAGACGTTGATAAATCCAAAACTTCAGAAAAAGTTCTGATTTGAAGGTACGTTTATTTTAGTTATCATTTGTTTTCGGGTGTATTTCAGTATTTTTAATTAAGTATACAGTTCAAATCACCAATACAAATTTTTGTAAAATATAAATATAGAATTAATCTAGTTGATTTTTAAAAGCATAATAGATACATAAACTTTATGTCCATTTAGAAATATGATACATAAACTTTATGTCCATTTAGAAATATGATACATAAACTTTATGTCCATTTAGAAATATGATACATAAACTTTATGTCCATTTAGAAATATGTTGTTATTAACAATTATATTATAGTTACTTAGATTTCAGGAAACAATATATATTTTAAAACTATTTCTTTTAAGTATTTTTGTTATAAAATAAATTCGTACAAGGTAAGCGTACCTTGTTTTACGTCTCTGTGCAAATAATTTTGTAACGACATGAAAATAATCTATCTGTATTCCAGTAAATATAAGATGAAGATGTTTAAAGTTTGTCAATTGTTAGTGTTGTGTTTGGTGTCAGCAGTGTCCTGTATTAACAGGACTACATTGGTTGATTTTGTCAGTACCTGTTTAGATGGAAGATATCAAAAAATTAAACCAGGACCAGAAACAGTTCTCTTTAATCAGGTTTATATTTTCTATCATCAATTATATTAAAGATACATTATGGGAGATTAGATAAAGGGCTGGCAATTCTCACTATAATAGTTAAAAATTAGATAATGTAAAGAGAATTTGCTGAAAACTTCAGTCAAATTGATCCACTCTGAACCGAGGTTTTAGCGATTGATTTTTCGGCCTAGCCTCGATCATCATTACTTAAGTCGGTACGATAAAAAACACAGTCTCGATTATCCAGTTCATGATTAAATCATGAATGGAAGTCGAACAGCAAATCGGAACATAATCCAATAAACATCGCAGGTCTGATTATGGTCTGGATAACTTTATTAATGTCTAATTAATATTTTAGATAACATTTCAGGCCTAAAGAAAGACCTGCAATAGGCAGATTTAGCACTTGCAGAATGTATATCTAATATTTAAGTGAATAGGGGAAAGGGTGGTAATAAAATCTTGTAGCAGCTGTTTCTGAACTTTCGGTCAACACTACATATACTAAACAAAAACAAAAAAACCAAAAAAAAAACCAAAAAAAACGTGAGTACGATTTCAAAATCAGAGAGGCACTTTAATCAAATCATTCTAGAAAACGACTTACTAAAATGGATCAAAGCAATTTTTTGTGAACAGTATGTTGACAAGAAGGTTTAGAGTCTGTACACACTCTATACTCCAGTATCTGGTGTGTCCACCGTGAGTGCCAATAACAGAAGCACAGCGTCTGTACATGGAGTGAACCAGACGACTGATGAACGCCATTGGCACCTGGAACCACACTCTCAGAAAAGCCTGGCGCAATCCATCGGCTGTGTTTGGTCTTGGTACGACGTTATTAATTCTCCTCCGAATTTCCTCCCAAAGATGTTCAATCGGGTTTAAGTCTGGACTAAGGGCTGGCCAGTGCATAACGTTGACACCGTTCTGCTGTAGAAAGTCCCGAATAACTCTGGCACAGACGTTGTCATGCTGGAAAACGTTGTTTCGATGACGTGCGAAATGTGGTATAGCGTGGGGTCTGAGAGCTTGATCGATGTAGCGCACTGCGATGATGCCGCCTCCTCTCCCTGGACCTATATTTTGGAACACCACAGGACCCACTCTCTGGTTCAGGCCGATTCCACCCCCAAACCATTATGCTTGAACCTCCCCATGACTATCATTCCATGACACATTGGACAGAATAACGCTGGCCACGTCGACGCCATATGCTGGTCCTGTCATCTGCAGTTGATACGCAATACCGACTCTCATCTGTGAACAGAACAGTTCTCCATTGCCTGTGTCGCCAGTTCTGGTGTTGTTGGGCAAACTGATGGGTCTTCCGTGTGTTCCCACTGTCTGACGTGCTGTCTCAGATGACCGTGTGAAGGGATTCTGTACGTGCTGTCGCACAACATGGCGGTCTTGTCGCATTGTGGTAACCCTTGGTCTACTAGTTCTGGGGCGATCATCCGTGGTGTTGAGTGAATGATTCAACCAGGTATGGGGGTGCATTTTATAGGGCTGGTCCCGGTGAACAGCGCGTGCAGCATGAGTTACATGAAAATCATGGAGAACACATTACCATCTCAGAAGTCTAGATGCGTTTTTGAGAACATTTCCTGGGTTCAGTTCTGTGTTTGGGAAGAAACCTTATTGCTCAGGTAAAGTTGGAGATGTGGTCCCAAATATACAATAAAAACATTTGACAAGGTTTATGCAATGCGTCTATTCAGAGTAACATGCCAACCTGACGTTTCTTTTGCTGCTTAGTATAGTTAAAATTACATGAAATTCCTTGACGACTAGGGAAACAGAAGGTATGAATAAACACCACATGATTCATAATTATGTTAATGTTCTTATATTATAGTGTAAACCATGGAAGGACAGATCATGCTGTTCCCAGGAAACATCTGTAGGTCTTCACACATCTGAAGCTTGGCTAAATTTCAATTGAAACCACTGTCAACAACTATCACCCGAGTGTTCAAAACACTTCATACAAGATTTATGTTTTTATGAATGTTCACCAAATCTCGGACCATGGCTGATTCCGGTAAGAAATAAATAATAATCATTTATAACAAATGAAAATAAGAAAATAAAATGAATAAATGGGGTTTAACGACGTCCTACTGTTCAACTCGATACGCAACTACGGCGTCCTGTATATTAAAATTGCAAACTCCCGACTTATTATTGTGATACTCTCTTTTTTGGTGGGGGAGGGTGTGTGTGTGTGTGTGTGTGGGGGGGGGGGGGGTGCTGTATTAATATATATATATATATATATATATATATATATTATATATATATATATATAATAAAATATATTTTAACCATCATGGTACAAAGATTTATATTATTTACTAAATAAACAGGTTAACATGAAGATAAGAAATGAAAGACCCATGCATGTACCCTTGTGTGAATCAGACTGTACAAATTGGTGGAATGCATGTAAATATGATTTTACCTGTTTATCCAACTGGGGAACTGGTAAAGGATTTAATTGGACAACAGGTAAACTTGCAGCCCTTTCATTTACTGTATATGTAAAAAAGAAATATGCAATGAAATGAAGCCTATGCTGAGCTAATGAAGACGGGCATACGCCATATAGTGTGCTATGAGGGACATTTTGCCCGGGCAGCGGCAATATGGCCTACTCTTATATTGAATTGCAACTGCCAATGGATCTTTTACGTTGCGCACCAATGTATACACGGGAGTTTGGATTTCGTCCCATCCGAACGACTAGACAGCTAGCTGTCCTTGTCAGGCCCTCCATCCTGAACCACTGACATGGGGAACCCACGTCGGAAAATCCCGATGAACTTTTTCGGCCAATGCAAGGATCGAACACGCGACCTCCAGGCTAGTGAGCCAGCGTCTTACCCACTTAGCCACCATGGCTCCCATGTAAAAATGAAAAATCAACACGGAAAATCTTGCAGCAAGTACTGCTAGACATACTCGGAAAGCCACAACAAGGTCGTTCACATCTAGTATCATACAGGAAAAAAGTAAAATTAGTGAGCCGAATAGATGACTATTAAAATATGAATTTCACCTTCCGTTTCCTTGGGTTTTTCTTTTATCAAGGTCAAAATACCTGTCCTAGTGGAAGAACTTGCAAAACATTTTCGGAAATCTACACAAGTTCATCAAACTTCTGCGAAACTGTTTGGAATTATTCCTGGAAAGTTGTTCCAAAAACAGAGCCATGTATGCACATTTGGTTTGATGGAAGCACTGGTAACCCAAATGACAAAATTGCATTAGAAAAGGCAAAAGAAGTTGTCAACTCTCTTATTGGATAAAGAGGATAAATTTGTTCTGAGAAATTATATAAATCACATTGTAATCCGCTTTCAAAATACCAGGGCTGGCTGAAAAGTTCTAGGTGTGAAAAGGATAGGTCTAGATCTAATAGGCCTACAATCATTGAATGAATCATAGACACGAGAACTGCAAGTGTAGTGTTAGTATTGTCTTCGTATCAGACCATCTTGTGAACCTACCCTTTGAAATCACCAGAAATAGACAAATAACTGACTATAGGACATTCATCAAGTGCCTGCAACTGAAAGTACTAACCACAACACAGATACATGCCGACACGGTCTTCACTTTAGGGAATGATGCCGATTCCTTTTCCACAGTAAAGAAGTGTGGAATTTAAACGTGACAGAGAGAGCATTGCTATCAACAGCAACCATTCAAGAAAACATTACCCGGGTGCATGACATGGTTATGGCTGATCGACGATTGGCCACCTGACATATAATTGCCACTGTTGTGGGCATTTCTTATGAGAGAGTTGAGCACATTATCGCCAACGAGTTAGGATTGAGAAATGTTTCTTAAATATGGTTGCCAAAACTCTTGACTGCGGATCAGAAACGTATCAGATTCCTTACGTCCCGTGACAATCTGCGCCGTTTTTAAGCAGATCCTGATAATTTTTGGCCAGATTTGTAACCGAAAATTGAAAAACGGTTATTTTCCTAGTAATGATGGCATAATGTCAGCTGTGAACGGCCTTTTTTAGGGTGGCTGAAGAGAAGTTTCTTCCTGACCGGCATCCAGGTCTTTGCAACATCGTTGGCATCGTTGGCAAAAGTGTGTATCGGTACACCTCGAAGGGGACTATGTAGAAAAATAAATGGAAACCATTGACCTTGTACAGGTCTTTCGCAGATAGGCTTAGAACTTTTCAGCCGACTCTCGTATATGTATATTGTATCACATTAGAATAAAATTGTTGATCGAATTATGATGGATTGTTTGCATATGATTTGATTTGCGGAATAATGGATATCTATTTAAGGCCCAAAGATAATTTTGAGTGTACATGCTCAATAAATTGTTTACTGTAATATACTGAGCGCCATTGAAAACGCATCACTTAGTTTTTCATATAACAAAATGATCCTGTAAACATATCTTATTTATTTTGCTTCTTATTGTGAACAATATTCAAATGGGAACACATCAATAACAACACATTTGTACACTTATGGATGTTTAATCTGTAATCAAGGGTACAAAGTCAGAGGGGTCAAAACCAAAAGTACGACACAGATGTCAGTAGCGCGTGTGTCCTCCACGGGCCATCATCACGGTAGGCTACAGCATTAACTGCAAATGTGTAGGGCGGTCCGGTGATGAAATGTGAAGCCTCCCCACACCATTACACTTCCCCCACCCCATCGATCCGTTTCGAAGACGCAGCAGTCTGCAAGACGTTCCCCAAGACGTCTCCACACACGTTGACGGCCATCAGCGTGATAAAGATGAAAGCGACTCTCATCACTGAAGATCACACTTTGCCAGTCTACTCTTCTCTGCGTCTGGTGTCCTTGAGCCCATATCAAACGCCGCTGACGGTGATGATCCCTGAGGATAGCTCCAACATAAGGTCGTCGTGCACTGAGTCCTACTTCTCGTAGACGACGTCTTACGGTGTTGGCACTTACTGGTTCTTGTTGTGGACCAGGACGTTGACGGTTACGTGTTGATCCAGTAACTCGAACACGTTCCACCAACCTTACAATAGTGGACTGATGACAATTGAAGTGTCTGGCAATAGCCAGCCCTGGACATTCCCATGGCTTCATTCCGTTGATTTTCAGTAAGTCTCGGCATCTCTAGCTCGATTCCTTCACACGTCCAACAACAAATTACGACAGATTGACGTTTCACAGTTGATTTACTGCACATTAAGTTGAAAACATGCTTTTAAAGGGCTCACACACAATGCTGCACGTGAATATTGGGGTTTTCATGTGCATCTCGTGCAATTTTTTTTTTTGTGCACACGGGCCGATATTTTTTGCGTTTGGGAGCATTGTGTGAAACAATAGTTCATAGTATTGCATAATATTATACATACAAAACCACCTAGTAATAAAATATTTGGGGAAAAAAAGTGATGCGTTTTCTATGGCGCTCAGTATAAATTAGGATTTCTTTCAATAATTCGTATATTTCAAAAAATTGTTTATTTCATTAAATTTACAATCTAAAAATAGAGAAAATAGGATATTGTTTTATATTTATGTTTTATTCTCTGCCAATACAAAGTAATCCATTTGGGATGGGTTGGTAGGTAGGAAGCCCTTCTCTGATTTCATTGCTTAGTTTAAAGCGAATATACATGGCCATCAAGCAACTCGGCGAATAATCTCTATTCCGCGGTGTTAATTAATTACTCGACAGTATTTCTTGACTGGAGCGACTAATGCTGTGTATTCCGATATTACAGTGAGGAACGTCGGGCTCTTTCCCTTTTCTATCTGGTAAGTCGGAGATGCATCTTTAGAAAGTTAAATAAGTGTCCCAGGCTAGTCCCAAGAGTAAATTCTGAAAAAATTCTGATGATTCCAGGAAAAAAAAGGAGAAAAAAACAAGTGGTTAACTCTGTGACTGCGATCTGTCAACAATAAAAATAGCCACCAAAACGGCTTTGGTGGCCACGGTGAATCAGTGAGTATGGTCCCGTTTTAAACCCAGTTTGGGCAGAGCAAATTCCCTTCAATCACACGTGTGGTTTCCCTTTGTCAGTTTGCGGGACAAAAGGCCTGGCAAGGCATAGTGTCTAGTCACTCAAATGGGACAAAAAAAACAAAGGTCTGGGTACACTCACATGTTGGCATGCACTAAAAAGAGTCCTTGACAGTTGGAATTCAATTGCTGTCCCCTCATAGCATAGCATGCCAGTCTTCATTAGCAGTATGATAAACACCATTTCATTTCATGAATTCATTCCAAAAAAACATGGAGGGGAGTCAAATAGTACTATCATTGTTATTGACTTTTACTAGAAAATACAAGAAACAATCAACATGTTCTATAAAATATCTGCATGTGTAAGATATTTTGAAATATTTAATAAAGTTAAATAATAAATGAACAATTACAATTTTATTTATCTTTTTAAAAAAAAAAACATTTTATCAAGCATTATTTCCTTAACAAATTACATATGGTATTACACAGAATATGGAGATGGAAAATATATAGATATATGCCAAAGGGCAATGACAAACCCAGGCATATGTTACAACGATTTACATGTATGGCATATGTTACACCGATTTTTGCATTAGAGACAAATTATGGTAGAATTGATTTCACAATGCATCTGTTAATAAACTACATTGACATTAGAGCATGGAAGACAATCGAGTATTAAGACCACATTACACAATTGGCTTGTAGTACAGCCGTATCTTATCTTAAAGTGGTACAACCACTTACTCTGAGCTGTCATAAGACCACATAACACCAATTTTGAAGTGGTACCCCCACTTACCAGGCTGTAATAAGATCGCATTACCCCAATTTTAAAGTGGTACAACCACTTAGATGTAAAAAGACCACATTACCCCAATCTTAAAGTGGTACCAGTATTGCAATTATATATAAGAATGGTTTTAATTTCAATAATAAATAGCTGACAATTAATGGAATCATTCAATTATATACAATAACAAAAGGTTAGATATATTCTGCTGCCTTCATAATAAGATGTACTCTAATCTACTGAAGTTAACCAATCATACTAACTCCCACCCGAATAACTAGGTCATTAGTAGACTAACATGTGGTAAATTTTATTTCAATAATATGAATGTGTGTAGGGATCTTTAGTAGTGGCAGGAAATCGAGCCTTGTCCTGTACAAGCTTGGGATTGAAAACATGACTCAAATGACAGACATTATTGGTCTAAGGCGAACCCATTAGACCACTCGAGTTGGAATAAGTGGTCATAAGTGAAATGAGTGACTCAATCAACTGCCTCCTAAAGACCCTATACAATCAGGGACCTCACTTAAAAATTTGGAAACCATTATTTATAATCGGTTATCTTGTATCAAAAAAATTCTTAGAAATTTACATATGTGATTGTTTGCATTAAAAATGACTAAACAGAATAGTAAAACTCCATAGCAACCAAAAACAGCAAATTTTGTGCATTTCTGATTAAGTTTCACCATTGGGGAAACAAAAATAGTCATTTTTTTAAAAATATATTAGCTGTAAACTGGGGTTTTAAAAATTTTGTGTACATGTTTCATGTATCTAAAATAAGGGGCCTACATTGTGTCTCCTTCTTCTGTGCTGTTGTCTAACGTTTGCTTCCATGGTAGTGATATTGCAGCATGTCTCATTTAGCCAGAATTTATTAAAAAATGTACATATGTTTTCCTACATGCTATATCATCCAAATATTCAAAATAACAATAAAATTACACGATAAATATTTCAACATAAAAAAAAAACTGTAACTAAAAACTATGGATTTCAAAAACATGACATACAACAAGACAAAACTGTGAACATTCCTAATAAAACATCGTTAATATAACAATATCTTTTATCAAATATATCTTCAATTAAAGTCTCTGAGCGTGATTTGAGTGATATAGGAATTGTAAACGATCAATCGCTAATATCAGATTAAAAATGGTTCAATTCCTTTCAGTATATACAAAGATTTGTTGTTCTGAAATTCCATCAACCTAGACTTCTACCTAAGTAAATAAGCCCACCATTATCTTGATGTTTCACAAAATCTAATTGATGGGCGTGTTTATAATTAAATTGATTCCAAGCCAGCAGATTATCTAGCGTTGATATTTTGATTCCGTTTTCTTTATTAAATGTTAAATAATCAATCTGAGTACATATTAATGAGGACTAAGCCGTCAGAAATTTGACATTTTTCAAAAAAGGCAAATCATGCACAGTTACTTTAAACAATAATTTTTATCATACAGATCACTAATCTAAATATATATATCCCTTATTGGAAAAAATATATTTAACTAATCAAAAACATCTTTAACAAGTCTCCAAATAGAACACATTTTTAACAAAATTGCAAACAAACCTCTAATAAAATCATATTTCTAAAACAAAATTGCAAAAAATATCTCAACTAAATCATATTTCTAAAACAAACGAAGCAACAAATACCTCAACAAACAAATCTCTAATCAAAGGAAACAGAAACGTGCATACTTCTAATAAATAGTTCCTTGCTTTTATCATAGGTTATAGAACATTATTGATTGGAGTTATATGGACATCACTCCCAGAAACTGTCAATTTAAGGACAGAAAACAGAGACTTTGTTTATTATTGTGGCAATGATGTTGGACAATTGAGACTATTTCTTGTCAAAACTTCAAAACTTTGCTCAGATAAAGTAATTCAACCGAAATTTTCAATATATTCATTTTTCATTATCTATTTTTAAACTATTATAATAAGAATAGACAGCTCTTTTATGTAAATCGTACATAATGTATCTTTAAACAATAACTACATGCAACAATGCATATACATATATTTACCATTCTATTTCATTGGATTTCCAAGGGACACGCATAATCATTTATACAACCAATCTTTCAGTTTTATTTAACATAATCAAAGTACAATTTTAATATTGTCCGAGGTAAATCATCATTAATAGAATTTAATATTGAGTATTATGATGGGAAAGCTATTAAATGTAAACATTTACTGAGACTACTCAACAATATCTTTAATACAAAATATCAACAATTGATTATTGGTTACCCTGAAATGTGTATATATTATACTGGGCCCTTATTCACGAAAACTTAAACTAAGATACAATCTAAGTTTTAAGAAATACTGCAATTTGATTGGCTGACCAGTAAAATCAATTTGCATATATCCAATGAAGTTGCAGTATTTCTTAAAATTTCGGTTGTAACTTAGTTTAAGTTTTCGTGAGTAAGGGCCCAGATCTACAGGATTCTACCATTTCTTTAGTAATGATACTTTAGAGGCATTTAGTAACTGGATTGAGCAATAAACTATAAACTATACTCATGGAAGAACAATTATTGATTTATATTGAAGATGCTCTGAAGAGTATTCTCTCAACGTTTTCAAACACGTTGAGAGAGTTAAAATAAATTAGTAACTGTTTTTTCATAAGTATGTGTTATAGTTTATTTTTCTTTAATACTTCATCTAACCCATGAAATTCTTATTCATGCAAGATAATCAGTAGATTTGTACCATATAAGATAATCAGCTTGGTACCATACCAGATCATCAGCAGATTGGATCCTTGCTAGATCATGCATGATCATCAATGCACACTAGGTGATCAACAGATAAGATTTATTTCAATTCATCAGAAAATCTGATCCATGGCAGATCATTCAGACGATCTGATCCATGGCAGATCATTCAGACGATCTGATCCATGGCAGATCAGCAGATCAACCTCATGTCATCTGACCAGATCAGACCATCCACGGATGTGATCAACATCAGACCATCTGCAGATCTGATCCACAAATCAGATTATTCAGCATCTACAGATGTGACCCACAAATCAGATTATTCACAGATCTGATCCAAGTTCGAGGAATACTAGACAATCAGCAGTAACTTAAATTATATACAATATTGAAGTACTGGTTATAAATAAATTATAATATTGAAGTACTGGTTATAAATAAATTATAATATTGAAGTATGGGTTATAAATAAATTATAATATTGAAGTATGGGTTATAAATAAATTATAATAATATTGCTATGAAATAAAATAACAGAGAAAATCATAAAATACAATATAAATTCAATATATGCCCGATCAATATGGTATCATTTTAATGGGTTTTATTTGAAGGGTTTTTTTTAGCAGAGAAGGGCCATATTTCAAACTAATGGCCTATCATTTTTTGTAATTTTCCCCTCTCCTTCAGAGATATAACTGAGATTAAATGAGGTGTAATGGCCAAGAGCAAGACGATAAGTAATATATTGATACTGCATGAGGGCGTTAACCCAAGTCTTGTTTCAATATATTACGCAATGTCTTAAACTCAAGACCATAAAACAATTTAAAATACGGACACTCGCACGTGCTGTGCAATGAAATATGTCACGCGAGTCCAATATATCACCTAGTATAAATAATGTACGACTGGCAAGTTACCCATACATTATTTGAAATAATGTTACGCCAACATCAAAGGATGACGTTACATCTGTATTTAAAGCTCTTATAATCTAATCCTGTTCAGAGCATAAAGGTGTTTTGTTTGTTGAGGGGTCTTTCCTGAAAATAAATTTGAGAATAAGAAAGTTATATTTTTGTCCACTCAATATTGTTGTCTCTCAAAAGTTATTATTGCACCTGAAATTCTCCTCCATGGTTTTATAATTTGGTTTGGTTTAAAATCAAGAATGATTTTTGTTCTTTCTGTATCTCCATATAATATTTTTGTTCTTATTGTGTCTCCATATAATATTTTTGATGTATACAACTACTTATACCACACTTTGTTGATTTCATTAAAGTCACTGATCTCTTTTGAGGTGTATATAAATTGGCAAAATAAATCGTATTCACATATTGAACACAGTTTTATAAAAATATTTGGCTTATACAACAGAAACTTCGAACAATTTGCTTTTTTTCTTCAAGATATCGTCTTCTGTCCTTCGATTAATTCAGAAAAAATCTGAAATAAAGATAAAAGATTCCAAAATTAAAATAAACGAAAATAAATTAAGATCACTACATTGAATATCGTCAAAAGTCTTTTGTATCATTAATTGCTTATCACTAGAGAATACAAATGGGTTGGAACATTACAAACTATTATTCTGCCAAGTTCAACCTCATAATTCCACTGTACTTCTAACTCTAAACCCTAACTTGTGTACTTGCAATAAAAGTCAGGTTTAACCTCACTTTCCCCACATTTGATTGTTTTGATAAAGGATTAGGAGGTTAGTAGACTGTGGGTGTAGAACTATAGTCTGTTCTAATTAATTAGTATCACTGGTGTAAACTTCTCACTCTAATTATTGTTACTGCTGAACACTTCCCACTATCAGTAGATTGGACAAATTATTTAGTTAATATATGCATATATAATTATTTATTATATATTTGTACTTATTATATATCAAACTCTTTATAAATATTCATACTATAAAAATGCATTTATTTATTTATTTACAATGTTGAAGTGTCACAAACTTGTTACAGACTATACTTTAAACCCCCTTTGTTGATTAATTAGTCATGGCCTGGTGGACCCAGACTCTAAACAATAGATGTGGGGAAAGTGAGCTGTCCCCAAAAGTCAGCAGTAGGGCTGTTTTTTTGTTACTACAAGGGCTTTTGCTAGGGTAATCACCATGCAGCAAGTACCATAACAACATATCATCGAGTGCGGACCCATTAAATTCCTACGTCTGAAAATATACTGCTCGGCCCACTTGACAAGTATGTCATGGGAGTCAGCCCCTTTGTGTCACTTTATAAGACTTTGATCAATAACAAAACATGGATTGATTTTAGATTTTTTACATCAAAATGTCAGTGTTATTTTCCGAAATAACATTTCAACTTACTTTTATTAAGTTATCTAAACCACATAAAAAGCCATCTTCCCTATTACCGAGTTGCCATGGTAAATTATGATGTAATATCATGCCATTTTCTACGGGTATTGTTTTAGCAAAATCTATCATCCATACACCGGAATGACCCACTTCATCATACATAATAAGAAGAGAACTACCAATAATCTGAAAATAATTATACAGTCAATTTATTTTTTTATAAAGTATCGAACAATCATGGCCATTACTTAAAAAATGTAATGATTACATTCCATTACCATTACCATTACCCATTACCATTACCCCAGCCCTGTATCAAACTGCACATCTCTCGGCTTAACCTTAGCAGAAAATACTCTTTATCGTACTTCAGTCTTGGTATTGTTGTAATGAAATTATACACCATCTTTCATTACTCTCACCAAATTAAAATTCAAGTTATCGTGTTTCAAAGTCTGAACTAATCTTTTTTTTTTCTCTGTTTAGCTTTATTGCAAAGTGCTCATCATGGTTTCTTCAAGGAATTTAATAAATTCTTGAAAAAAGACCAAAGTCTAAGTTGGTCTGTGCATGGATTCTGGAAAATAATTTGGGTCTATTTTGAGATTTTTACCCATTTACTGGAATTTCTTGAACAGAGCCATTTTGAAAAATACCAATATAGTATGCAAAAGTAGGTAACTTCCCTCTTGTTGCATGTTATTTAATCTCTGTCTATGACTACACATGAAAGAATTAGATCACAGTCATTGTTTTTAAAGGCACTCAAGCTTAACTGAAAAACACTTTTTCAGCCGAAAAACACTCCCTATAATTCATATAAATTGTTTCAATGGCATATAGTAATTCTATTCAATAGAATTGAATTGTATCCTGTACATAATTTACATATTTTATTTTATATCATTAACAAATGGTAAAAAAAGTCAGTGGGTAACAGTTCAACTCTGCTGTATAGGCCTTTGCCTGTTGTTCAATCCAATTCAGTTTATTGAATAAAATATTGTTTAAACTAAACTAACTCTGCTACTTAGAATAAAGTCTAAATCTTAGGACTGAAAGGAACCACTAGCCTTGTTTATCAAGTTCCTCAGCTTGTCCAAACTGTGAGAACTATTTTAGCAGAGTGATTATTGACTTAACTACAAGTTGAGGAGAGCTCTTTTCAGCTCACAGGCCTAATACATAAAACAATGACTGGGATATTATTATTACCTCGTGATTTTTAAAGAAGTTTGATTCAGCAAACTTGACTCGGATTGTTTTTAATCTTTGTAAAATATGACGAATAGATTGAGGATGTCGTTCTAGGAATTTAGATATCACATTCATAACCTGAAAATACAATTCTTTACATGATAATATTTACAGCAAACATAATCTAATCAAATTAATAAAGGAGCATATTCAATGGGATTATACAATCTACATGTAGATTCTTAGAAATGTAGATTAAGGTATGATTGGTTCAGTCTTATTTGTGTTGAAATGTTCAGTGTGAACAATGCTGTATTGTAGTTCACAGTTTCAGGTCCGATGTAACAATTCCTGTCCTGATTGAAGATACCTTACTTCATTTCTAAAAGTGAGTAACTATTCACATCCTTAGGATAAATGAAATGAAATGGTGTTTAACATCCTATTGTTCTGTTCCAACTGGGCTAATGAAAACAGGCATATGCCATACAGTGTGCTATGGCCTACTCTTATATCAATTCCAACTGCCAAGGGATCTTTTACATGCATGCCATCCAAACGACTATACAGCTGCCCTTGTCAGGCCATCCACAAAGGATTATTTCCAGAGACAACAGACAAACAAGGACAAGTTTATATGGTGTTAGCATTTAACCGTGAAAGCCACAAACCAATTTTCATATCAAAATAATAGACAAAATCCACATAATTCTGGGTAGCTGCGGTGGCTAAGTGAGTAAAATGCTATCTCATTTATCAGGAGATCTGGTGTTCAATCCCAGTGTTGGTCGAGAAAGTCCCCGGGGATATTCCACCATGGTTTCCCCTTGTCAGTAGTGCAGAACAGAGGACTTGGCAAGTAGGGCATCTACTCATTCGAATGGTACGAAAAAAACAAGGTCCTCCGCAATATCATTTGCTTGATAAAGACGAGAGTATCCTCGTCGAAACGTCGCTTAGTATTAAACTCAGTAATTGTGTATCCATAAAATTGTACCTTGTGTTAATATGTTCAATTACTAAATGCCAATCAAAGAAGTTCTATCAATGTTTTTACCGTTTCTCACTTTATCTGTTGGCGCTAAAAAGTAGTGGTAATCATGTGCTTACCTGATTTCTAGTTTTCACCTTTTTAAGACTAGTTGTTGGAGATTCACCTGAATTCTGAAATATTTTACAAATTAGCATTTTTTATTCGTAACAGCAAAAGGAAAAGAAATCAGATGTTGCATCTCATCAACATATTACTTCAGCTATTTTCAGACAGATGCAGAGCAGAGATGCACAATTGTATTACTCATTTATTCTGGTGGAATTGAATCTTGTTAAAATAAATATACTTACTCTGATGGCTTCAATTCTAAACCCTAATGATGATGTTGAACTTTCTTCCTCTCGAAACTGAAAAATAAACAAAATTACATACAATAAAATGTTAAATCGGAATAACAGGGCATCAGTTTTAAGGAGCCTGATAGAGCGAGAGAGAGAGAGATGGGGTTTAACGTCCACTTGACACAAACTAGGTCATTTCGGGACTAACATATGGTTTAATTTTATTTCCATAATTTGCTTGCGCGTAGGGGTCTTTAGCAGTGGGAGGAAACCGGAGGACCCGGAGAAAACCTACGAGGTTGGACAGGCGACCGTACTCCTTGTCACGTACAACCGGGGATTCGAAACCACGCCAGTTGACTCAATGACAGGCTTTATGATACAGTTTAGGACATTTTATGCACATTAAAATGATAATGTACCATTTACAATGTCCTTTTTGAAAATAACATCAAATAGCAAAGATTTGAAAGAGTAGGCTTTCCCATTTACACATCTTTTATATCTCAACCTCTAAATAACAGAGATATATATTATGTCACTTAATTAAAACCTTTCTAATGTGACATCTTTATAGTTCTGTGTCACAAGTTCTCTGATTTTCTGGCCAGTAACTAGTCTCCAACCACTACTCATATTGTTGCTGTTCAAAAAAGCTTAAGGCTCACATAGAATCAACATGAAACTTGGCATGCTTGTTCCTTGGACAATTGTGCATCGACTGACAGGCTATAGGACTTAACAGTAACTTCCAGGGCAGTAAGTAAATGGGACAGACAAAACCTACCATTCACATTTTACTAAACAACATCCATGTACATTATATTTGGTGTCACACACCCCCTGAACATCAAATATTATCAAACATTTTACCAAAGTAACTCAGTAATTGTGTATCCATAAAAATTGTACCTTGTGTTAATATGTTCAATTACTAAATGCCAATCAAAGGAGAACTTTCATGAACATAACATTCTCTATATTTTGTGAAACAGACCCTGAACATCACATATAAAAGTGTAGAAAAACAAACCTGCATGTATCTTAATTTAGTGATGGCTTTCTGTTTTCTTTCTTCATCTGTTGGTGCCATACAATCTACACTCACCATTTTCTCATACAGATCTTTACGTAAAGCTGGATTTCTAACTTCAGATTCAAGGAATGTTCTGTTAAAATAAAGATTACATTACAAGGAGAATTCTACAGAGAAACACCTATCTCCTCTGACAACTTAAAGGAGGCAAGTCGTTAACTCAATATCATCCACATTCTTCAACATTGCAAACACCACTTATTTGTCAATCTATATCAACATTGATGTTGTTATCTTACCATGAAAAGATGGGCTTCTGTGTCCAATATTTAAGACAAAATAAATTTTTGAAATTGTCATATGAATTGCATGCCAGAATGCTTTGTAATGAAGCGACTCGATAAACAAGGTTAAACATACCCCACATAAGAATACTACCGGTGTAGACTGGAATAATCAGACGACAGTGACTGCCATTTGATTTGAACTCTTTGCGTATTTCGCCGAACATAACTGATTAAAATTTACAGTGAAAACAGAAACAATTGAATGTAAATCAGTTTATATACATTCATAATACATTGTTATATGCATTGTGACTCATTTGTGTCCATTTTGATTTATAATAAATTACAAAGAGAAAGACATAGATTAGAAGTTTTTTTTATAAACAATTTGGTTTTTGAGGAAGTGAGAAATTAGTCACAACAATCCAACCATGAGTTAATGACTGTAACTGACAGATTAACGCATACATTATGTTATTATGTACGTAGTTGAGTTTGTTTATTGCATCTTTGACATTATGTCATCTTTGTAGAGTTGGGCTTACTTTCACATACAGTGGACTCGGTCACATCCGCCTTCTGAATACTACAGCATTCTGTGAAATCCGTCATCATTTTCATGTCCCTATTTATTTCCTTATTTTGCCCTACCATCATATTTATAGGTGTTACCAACCTATAAATACTGGATGTCATAACAACATAAATATTCCATTCTGTGTGTGTACTAAATTTATTTTGTTATAACTTAATTGTAGTATCATAAAGAATATTTAATTTCAGATTATAATACTCTACTGAAAAAACAGGAATGAAATGTGGTTTAACATCCTACTTTTCTGCACCAACTGGGCTAATAAAATGAAATAGTGTTAACGACCAGTCCACTATTCTACCCCGGCTAATGGGACAATGAAGACAAGCATAAGCCATGCAGTATGCCATGAGGGAAGTTTTGACCGAACAGCAGCATTTAGGAGTACTCGTTATTGAATCACACGGATCTCATTCTCAGCAATTGAATTTATAAATGCATCAAACCAACTGACCCAGCCTTTTTCTGCTGTGCTCTAAATTATGATAATATATCTTAAAGGCTAGATGCCTCATTTGTAATTTCGCTCAAACCATAACAACTTATTCCACACTAAACATGTACTCAGATTATTTAACATTTAATTAAGAAAACAAAATAACAAACACTAGATAATATCCCGGCTTGGATTCAATCAAAATTAACCTAGGCCCATCAGGTTTCTCCCCTACCAATAAAAGATGACTGTGTTCGGTTACATACCAAGTAGCATAGATCGATGAACTTTCAATTTATCATGACTTTGTAAATACTGAACTGAATTGAACCATTTTGAACTTGCAAGGGATTCCTATAGCACAATCCTTTAAGTTTTCATAATATATACATTATTCTTGACATTGTGAAGAATTGTAGCAATGATAATTGAAATATTTTATTTACCTTTTACCCATTTTAATATCCATTATATTAGGATCTTTAAAATGATATAGTAAATCTTCAATCTCAATAAAATCTGGACCTCAGTTAAAGATAGTATACAGGTCTTTAGAAGTTTGTAAAAATGTGAAATAAATTGAAAAAAATAAACAAAATATTTTGGTATCTGTATCTCTTTAAAATTTTCAAGGAAGTAGCAGCTGTAACGCATAAGACAGGTGGTTGGCCCTATACACCTGAATTCTAAGCTGGGAATATAAATCAATATACAGGGGGTTGGGATGGCCTACTGGTATGAGTATTGCACTCCGACCTCTAGCTAGCTGGTCATTTCTGGCTTGAGGTTGTGTTTCAATCTCTGATGTGAGCAAATGTGGTTTGGTGATGGGGGTGTATTCTAAAACTCTGCGTACACCAGTTTCCTGCCATGCACTGAACATACTAAAAAAAGACAACTTGTCTGCAATATCACCCACGATGGAAGTGGATGTTAAACCCTATGAACAACAACATTGACCTCAATACCATTTGACTGTCTAGTTTTGTGGAGGAGGATTTTATCATCTATTTATTATTAAAGAACATAGCTGTGCACTCGTCATCTCTTGATTATTTCCCTTGGGTTTGTTGGTATTTTTAGGGCACACAATGCTTTGGGACTACACTATGGGCCTGTATTATAAATAATAACAATTAAAATTTAGTTGAAAAAATGACATTTAACATCAACAAGACACGATTCAATTTTATTTCAATAATTCACTTGCACATAGGAGAGGCAACCCTTCTCCTTTTCACATTCAAGTGTGGTGGGATCAAAACCATGCCACTTACCTCAATGACAGACCATTTGGCCACTCAACCCCCCCCCCCCCCAAAAAAAAAAATTTGGTTAGGAACTCATCAAACCTTTTAAGTAAGTATATAATTAAGTTAAAAGTAAGGATACATTCTCCATTATGTTCTACTTCACAAAAGAACTCTGGTATAATATCTCTAGTAGCAGGAGATTCCATTAAAGCTTGGTAGGCTTTCATTTCATAATTCTCTTTCGATATCCTTTTCTTCCAGATGGTATGTGGACCAGCTGGTGAAAATGATCCTAAAATTAAAACAACATTATTTATTATTTAAAGCAACCATGCATGATTTGCATATTTTGGAAAATATCAAATTTCTCATGCCCTAATCCACGTTAATATGTACTCAGAAAAAGAGAGAGAGAAAGAAATGGGGTTTAACGTCCACTCGACACAAACTAGGTCATTTCGGGACTAATATATGGTTTAATTTATTTCAATAATTCACTTGCGCGTAGGGGTCTTTAGCAATGGGAGGAAACTGGAGGACCCGGAGAAAACCCACAAGATTGGACAGGCGACCCTACTTCTTGTCACGTACAACCGGGGATTCGAAACCACACCAGCTGACTCAATGACAGGCTTTATGATACAGGCGCACGTGCTAACCATTCGGCCATCCAACCCCCCAGTCAGAAAAAAACTGCAGAAATAAACTCAAGACACACAGAATACTAAATAGATGTCAAATTTTATCCAAGTATATCTCACAATCCAGATACCTGTAAAGTAAGCATACCCTGCCTTGTGTACAGCACTTGTCAAAAATTCCATACAAAGCTATTATTTTAAAAATATAAAAAAAAACACAAGATGCTCATCATTTCCAGCATTGAATGTTACCTTTCACAAGTGTGAATTTTACAAGCTGAAATGTAAGTATCTAAATAACCACAAATGTCAAGATATTTAAATTTGCCAGCCCCTGACAATTTCCATTTTAAGAACTTTTATCTAAGAATGATTCCTAACCTAACTTCAAACAAATTCATTCAGCTATTCCTTCATATAGCACACTGCAGGGTGTAGACACATGAAGTGTAATATTAAGAGCGAGACTCAGAGAGTGAGAGAGAGAGAGTGAGAGAGAGAGAGAGAGAGAGAGAGTTTCACATCCACTTGACACAAACCAGGCCATTTTGGGACTAACATATGGTTCATTTTATTTCAATAATTTGCTTGCGTGTAGGGGTCTTTATTGATGAAATCAACAATTAACGATTATGGTGGTATTATGGATGCTATAAAAATGGAGATAAACTCTAATGTACAAATAGCGGATTTACACAGAGCAGATAGTTCTTAAATAAATAATAGTTTATACCCATATGACCAGCAAGCTGTATCCATGCATTTTTCCTGTTTTGAAGAACAGCCTCTGATGTACATGAAGGGACACCTTTGTCTAATGGTGTCTGAAATGAGAGAAAGGAATTAATGGGATATCATTTCTACATCATTGTCCCCTCATGTAACATTCTATATTTTATTTTTTATAATCATATATACAACACAACTATCATAACTTATTCCAATAATTACATTTAAGATCTTTAATTTTACAAAATGGGAAAACTTTTAACATAAATACTTGTAACAAGCAAAACCTTTCTTCACCAGCCATCATAAAAAAATGCCCACAGACTTGTTCAGTTTAAATATCTGTTTAAGATTTAGACATTGCCAAGATAAAACATCTTTTGTACACAGTTTATATTTCCAAATATAAACTAATCCAAAAACATATTAGGCACCTTTCCAATATAATTACATCTTAAACTCATCTGGGTCCAGTTCAATCAGATATTCAACTTATTGGCTCTAGGTAACTTATGTTTACGTAACATTTCATGGCTATAACGAGCTAGTTTGTTCAATAAAAAGTGGGTAGATTATTACGATTATCTATAGTTCATAAAATAGAAATAAGTATATCATAAAGCAAGTCTTAAAAAGTCCTGTCAAATTAAGTGGGTCACATATAATTTTTATCTGAGGAACTAGACTACAATGGCCTACAATTTTGGCCTGAACACACTTAGGATAATTTATTGTCAATTTTACAATCCCCACGAATAATCGTTGGTATGCAGAAAATTATACAGCCTGACAGATTGTTCACAATGAATAATCATTGGTTTGTAACAAACTGACAGATGTTCACCCAGGGATGGGATTTCCCCCGTATATTCCAGACTTGTCCAACGCTATTTTCTATTGCCAATCGGATCTCAAGACATGGTGAATAATATCCAAATTCCAAAATTAATATAGTGTACTGAGTGTATAACTACCACTCAACCCGATTATCGTTGATAATAGGCCGAATTGATTAGGTAATTAAAAGATCAACGTATTTATCGTGTTATACCGTCTATACACCTACCTTGATTAACTACTTAATCTGCCATGATTGACTGACTTAATCCTTTGTTGGACAATTCATCAATCTAATCTTAAACAGAAGTCATTGCTTCCCCTTTGTCGGGAACTTCCCCCCCCCCCACCCTCAAATGAATAATCATTGGTCTATAGCAGATTATACAACCTGACTGATTGTTCCCAATGAATAATCATTGGTTGGTTTGCAACTGACGTTCCCCCCCCCCCTCAACGAATAATCATTGGTCTACAGCAAATTATACAACCTTGCAGATTTTTGTCCCTGATATCTTTTGTTGGCTATTCTGTGTGCTAAATATTTGATAATATCCAGCATCAATTAACAAATCTACATGTTCATTCAAACACACATCCCCTATTCAATATTTGTTTGTTTTCGACTGTCATGTTTGTTTTGTATAAATCACTCTACAGTATTTATGCATGTATAAAATAAACATTGACAAATAAACAATTGGTGTTTGTCGAGTGTTTTGAATGACAAATAATTCCTTTATTAAATTCACAATTACTGGTAGTGGTAGATAGATGATGTCTCCCACAGAATATAGTTACCAGTAATTGAAAGAATGTAATTATCTTGTTATTCTGTTGAAATATTCAGAAAAAAAACTAAGAGTAGTGGATTAAAGCGGTGGACACTCTATGTGAATCAATTGGCGCCGAATTGCAGACAAATGAGTGGACACACTAAGCAAATTCTCCACCCGATTCACCAGTCGATTGCATCCCCTTCCAAGCAAGTCACATGATTAAACATGGCAGCAACCATGTCTTCAAACAATCATGTGACTTCTCGAAATCAGTGGTGATTGGCTGATGAATTCTATATTCGAGCAAATAGAAATTTGGCTGAATGATACCCAACACACTAGGCAAATTTCGGCGGCAACTGATTCGGCTATTGTGTCCGCCCTCTTAAATGTAACATTCAACCATTCCAAGTGGAACACTGCACCTCATGATAATAATGATCTAATATAAAAAATAACTAATTTGACTTAAAATATTGGCAGCTTGGTGAAATCAAAACAGAATCAAAAGTCTCATTAATTAATTAGGTATATAAATGTTTCTATCCTGTCGACAAGTTATATGACGCAACAGAAGTGTGTACAAAAAATTATTTGGCACATGGAATGTAAAAGTTTGACCACCCTGTAATACACTGACATGTATGATCACTGATACATGTATATATATTGGTAAGGAACTAAAATATATTGTCACTGATATATTATAAATGTTGTTATATTGTCTTTTAGATCGAAACTATTTCGAAAGTAGTCTTATATAGACAACGATAAATTAACTACTGGCAAATGAAATGAAATGGGGGTTAACATCCTACATGTCTGTAATGACTGGGCTAATAAAAACATTCTTACATCATACAGTGTGCTATGAGGAACATTTTTTATGGACAGCGGCGCTATGGCCTATTCTTCTTTCGAATTACAACTGTCAACATGTGTATACATGGGACCTTTTATTTTCGTACCATCCAAATGACTAGACATTGTCCTTGCCAAGTCTTCCGTCCTACACCACTGACAAGGGAGAACCATGCAGGAAAATCGTGAGGAACTTTCTCAGCCAAAATTAAATTTAAAATGAGAGATTTTGTTTCCTTTTATTAATAAAGTAGACATTTTATCTTACCTGTGAATACCCATACTGAGGTGGAAACAACAGATGTGACATCTGTATATCATCTTTTCTCAACATCTTTATAATCTTTCTATATCATCTCTTACAACAAGTATTAAACTCTGAAATAACAACACCAAGCTTACTACAGTTGTTGTATCAGTATCCTCTCTTACAACAAGTATTAAACTCTGAAATAAAAACACCAATTTTTGTCCTCAACCTATTTAGCTTACTAAAGCAGCTGTATCAGTATCATCTCTTACAAGTTTTAAACTCTGAAATAAAAACACCAAAGTACTTGATCTTTTTTTTAAAGGTCCTCAACCATAGAGATTTCTATAGCAGCTATATCAGTACCATCTCTTATATAAAAAAAAAAAAAAATACAACACACTTGAATTTATAAATTAGTTTGTCCTCGATTTCGGTTATAAAACTATTTTAAAGCATGACGTTTAAACAGTGTGTATTTTGGGACATATTTCAAAAAAGATATAATCATTTGTACTAACTGTTAACATTTATTGAAAACATCAATCATCATATGACACCAAGAAAATATTTGAAACAGACATGGAAATCAAATCAATCAATCTACAGCATGAATGCCATTACAGGTGGCACATGTACAACACCACCTTAATTGAATTTTCTATAAGTTACAGATGACTGAGTTATCCAGGTAATTCAGTGTAGCTTTAAGGCAAGTACTTCTATTTATAATTTAGAATGTTCTACAAATAGTTTGACGTATGATTAATCTAAACTGATATACAATGAAATGATTATTAGTATACTTTATAGCTTGAAAACATCTCCAAAAATATTTACTCAAGTCTTGTTTATATTTGCCATAAATAGGTACGGTATTTTAATTTCTATTCTCACTATTTCAGCAATAAGAACCTACTAATTGAATTGCTTTGAAAGATCACTTGTCTCAAAATTTTATAAACTGGTTTAGGTGAAATACAATTTATCAAATGGGGGTTGGAAGGAAACTATTTGTTAGATTTTATATAATCGTAAATTACCTGAAAGTTTGGTGTCTACTTTTTCAATTAGATCAAAGAGTAGAGGTGGATAGAGAGAGGAATGGGGTTTAACATCCACTCGCCATAAACTACATATAGGTCATTTCATGACTAACATATGGTACAATTTTATTTCAATAATTCACTTGCGTGTAGGGGTCTTTAGCAGTGAGACATGGAGGAAACCACAGGACCCGGAGAAAACCCACAAGGTTGGGCAGGCAACATTACTACCTTACATACCAAGTTGGTATCAAAACCACGATACTTGACTCAATGACAGACTTTATGATCTAAATCGTATACATCAGACCATTCTATCACCCAACCCTCAAGTAAAGGTGGAGAAAAACACCTGTATAATCCAGTATCAAAAGTACAGGTACTGAAATGCTTGGTGTTATTTATCAATTGTTATATTTTTTACTACATGTATTTAAGTTATTTTTCAATTATAACTCTAACATTCAATTCAATGAATCAATTTCAATAAATCAATTTTGGGATTATTTTTGATGTATTTCCAGATTTCTAGAAAGCAGAAATTTTGAACATTTCAAAATCAAAATGGGCGCGACTAGTCATAAAACTTAATACCATGAAAAACCATATTTTCCCATCATCTAGGCAATAAGATTATATTATTGAGTTGTTGACGAGAATTTAAAAAGCATAAAATCATACGGCTGGTTGACTTTCTATAAAGATAAAAGGGTAATATGACAAGAATGAAAGGAATCATTACTAACGATAAGCAATGACTTACTGAACTAGCAATCCATTGAGACCATCAGTTCAATGAAGCTTATCTTACAAAATATCTTGAACACAAAACAAGTAAAAAGGACCTGCATATGAAAGAGTCCTTACACGTTAAGCTACAAATACTAGGGAATAAATATTAAACAGTTTACATAATGACGAAAACAAGCATAGATGTAGGTTATAAACAAACTGATGTAGGTTATAAACAAACTGATTCATTACTTCACCTATTTCTATTCAATCTTAACCCACAAAACAATATTTCTGACCGATGGACCGACCCTAGGCATACCAGCTGGGGGTGGGTGGGGGTGCGACCGACCCTATACCCTTATATGATCCACAAAATTTACATTTTTAATGTTTTTATATCATGATATATTCTAATTTTGATGATTTACAATTAACTTACATGTAAATGAATAAGAAAACAATATTTCTACCAACCAATAATTAAAAATAAACAATATTTCTCCCAGCTAAAAATTGGATATGATCTATCACAAAAGCTACATATACATGTAGGTATGGCTAAGAACTATCGTAAACGTTACATATGTTACATACATAATGTCAACACAGGGTACTATAGGTCACTTAAATTAACAACAACGCAGTGTAATTTGATCCTACATGTACATGTATACACAGTTAAACCTGTCATAGTACAATGTATATTACATATCTATTGACCTTCCATCATCAAAGGAAGCAAGTCATCAGCACTGAGTGTTTTAAGGAAAATATAATGACTATGTTCAGACAGACTTGATAGTTAACAATATAATAAATCATTCTTAAGTTCTTTAATCTTGTTCTTTTGTCAGGACATTTTGAAATTAAAGGCTGTGAATCATTACTCAAACGGGGGATCACGTGGCTAAGTGGGTAAGACGCTGGCTTACTAGCCTGGAGGTCGGGTGTTCGATCCCTGCATTGGCCGAGAAAGTTCATCCTGATTTTCCGGCGTGGTTTCCCCTTGTCAGTGATGCAGGACGGAGGGCCTGACTAGGGCAGCTGTCTAGTCGTTTGGATGGGACGAAGAACCAAGGTCCCGTGTACAAATTGGCGTGCACATAAAAGATCCCTTGGCAGTTGGAATTCGATATAAGAGTACACTGCAGCCCCGCTGCCCGGGAAAAATTTCCCTCATAGCACACTGTATGGCGTATGCCCGTCTTCATTAGCCTGGTCGGAGCAGAACAGTAGGACGTTAAACCCCATTTCATTTCATTTCATTTCAACATCTGATGACATAAAGTTTGAAGAACCTTACAGATCAGGACAAGCAATTCCACTACTTTACTTTTAATAACTTGTTTATCGATGTTGGAAATGACAGACTGAAAAAACCTAACCATGGTACAAGTGTTCAATTTTTTGAGACAGAGAGGGAGAGAATTTAATGTCCACTCAACACAAACCTGGCCAATTCGGGATTAACACACGGTTCAATTTAATTTCAATAATTTGCAACAGTTATAGCAGTGGAAGGAAACCGGAGGCCCCAGACAAAACCCATGAGGTTGGACTGGCGACCCTACTCCTTGTCATGTACAATAATCTAAATCCCCACCACTGATACTGATAAATGTACATTGTACCTACATGTTGGCATACATATAATATTGGGACAGGTTTATACATGTAACTTATGACCAATTTCAAAAATATCTGACAAAAATCAGATTTGTTAAATATTCACAAGAACTTGTGTATAAACTGATAGCAATGACAACAGAAATGTCCAGATAAAATGTGAGGGCATAGAACAGAAAAACAAAAGCACTGTGGTGTTTAATTATTAATTCCTTGTTGTTTTACATGTAGCCTAGATAATTTAGAATTCAGAAGCCTGTGAGTGAAGCTAAGACATAAATTTGTAATCTTCCATTTGTTTACATTAAGAAACTAATAATATGGGATTACTTTGCATGAGATAGAAGACACACCAGGTGTTATACTGCACTTTATATCTATTTCTTTGATAATTCATGACTGCTTCTAGTAGAAGAATTACAATCAAAGTGATGTTTACCTTATTTCCCTAAAAGCTTTTCACACCGAAGTAATTCAAAGGAACCACATAACTTTGATTTATGTGAATATAAATTACAGGTATTGAATGAAATGGTTTGATCTGATCTAATGTGTTATTTCTATTAGTGATGAAGCAAGCTTGGTACGATTACATATTAGTTTATGTACAGATTAAGCATGTATGTCAGCTTAGTTTGTTTACGAATTTTAATTTAAATTTTGGCCCAATGTTTCGAAAGTCAAACATAAAGATGAGAGAGATAAAAATGGGGTCAACGTCCATTTGACACAGACTGGGTGATTTGGGGACTAATATGTGTGGTACAATATTATTCCAATAATTTGCATGCAGTGAGACCTTTTGATATAAAGTGCAAGTGTTAGACTATTTGCCTGCCCCCCACAAAAAGTTACAGAGCCTACACATAAGCTTCCAGTATCAATATCATATTTTTTTCATTGAAACACAATCATCCATGTTGATGATTTTTTTCTTGAAACTTGACATATTTGAAGATTGTCATCTCCATAAAACAAATCAACAAGCTTACATAAAATTCGAAGAAACTGTTTTTTTATTCTTCACCTAAATCAAAGTTATTTAGCTATAGTAAATTGCTTAAATTTCAAAAGCAAGGATCGAACTGAATAAAATCTGTACCTTGTAGCCAATCAATACTGAACTAGCCATGTGTTGATGTAAGTCTTGAATAGTATCCAATGCGATGAATAGCAACAGTAAATCTAAAGTTACCCGTATTTTTTAACGATACATGAATATGAAATAGCCATTTCGTAAATCCAATTGAATTATGAATTATATGCCTCTTCAAAAAACAGTAATTTACGTTGACAAATGGTACTTTTAATTTTATAAGCTTAAGTATGCTTTATGTAAGATTTAGATAAAGAGCTGGTTGTTCTTGCTATAATAGCTCAAAAATAGTTAATGTAAAATGAATATATTAAAAATTTCATTCAAATTACTTTATTCTGAGCGAAGTTATCACTGTTTGAAGTTTTGAGACATTTGTGGCATAGATTGTTTATCATGGTAACAACGGTACTTGTTATTCGAGACTTAGCCTCAATTTGCCATTCTAAAATTGAATCATTAAATGGTGACCATATTTTAATCCGTTTCAATCTTTGCCATCCGATAGTCTAGAGAGTTGATAACAGACTTTATACAGACTTGTCATGTGAATAGGCTAAATGTCTAAATAATAGTTGATAACATTTCATTTGAAGCCAATATAAAGACCTGCAACTGGCCGATTATTTAGCTCTTCCATAATGCATCTTTAACTCAGTACAAAGATATATGCTGACAGTTATATTAGGTGCCCTACACCTACTTTATCAACATATTTTAAACCTATTTTATTATATAAAAAAGATTTGAAATCATAAATCGTGTAGATATTATAACTATATCTGATAAATCAAGAATGTATGTTTTTCAATACTTACCTGAGAGATAGGTGGAGATTTATTCAATAATTTACAATGAATTATTGATGATAAGAAGTAAATGAACACTCCTTTAAGTTTAAGCCTATTCAGGAAAAGCCAAAGGTGTCTGTGATCATATCCATAAATTACAATTTATTGTGTGTTAACAACACGGAGGTTAGTCTAGATAAAATAACCCCTTTTATTCTTTTTTTGACGAGATCAACAATACTGCAAGTGCAAGTTTTGTTAGTGAAAAACAAAATGTTCACACAATCGGCGATCGCGAAGCCAAAGAAAACAAAACTCAGGATAGAATGTAACTTTTCAATTTCAACAACATGTTTAGTTACTGTAGACTACCATTCACTGCTGTGACTCATGTATCAGCGGTGAATTAAAATAAATAGGTTAGTTGGGTCTCAATTAATCATTATGAAATTGGTTTACACACCCACTGACGATCTGTTCTGTGTCTTTCAATTTATCAGCAACGAATGGAAGATTGAAGACTTCAATGTTTTCGTCTGCAAACCATCGAATTTCAGCCCGGAAGTGCTCTAAAGATAACAAACTAGCCTCCAGTTTCCAGTCCAACGTGGTAGGCAGGTAAATTTGAGACTCGATTAACCTGACCAAATTTTTTTTTTTTTTTTTTTTTTTTTTGTTACTTTGATGATTCGCCGTGATACAGATTTTTAAGAAAAGAAAATCAATGAATAAAATTTTTTGGGATAAATCAAAGCTGGATTCAGCAGCAGTAAAGATTTGTGAACTCCATAACGGTAGCACGGTTTACCCAAATCTACCCTTATAATAACCCATATTTCAAGAGTTTTGGGCTGTAATCAGATCTAGTTCAGCCCGTAAAGAAAAGAGAATTAAAAAATGTAATTAATTTTGAAAAATATTGTATTAAAATTAAGCGTGGGTGCATGTGTGGTACCCAGGGCCCCCGATAGGTCGAAGCAAGAAAGGGTAAAGCCTTTCAAAATGTGTCTCTGGTCCTTAATGGGGTGGCCTAGGGCTGGATGGCCGTATGGTTAGCAAGTGCGCGCTGTATCATGAGATCTGTCATTGAGTCAACTGGCGTGGTTTTGATTCCCCGGTTGTACGCGACAAGGAGTAGGGTCGCCTGTCCAACCTCGTGGGTTTTCTCCGGTTTCCTCCCACTTCTAAAGACCCTACGTGCAAGCGAATGAAATAAAATTGAACAATGTGTTAGTCCGAAATGGCCTAGTTTGTGTCGAGTGGACATTAAACACCATTTCTCTCTTCCTCTCTGGTCTTTATGTGTTTAATGATTAATCTGTTTTAGTCTCCCTTATTAATCGCCATGTATGTTTCATGCCAATCTCCGTGTAACCAAGCTTATACATTATTTCACTCACATCTATTAGTTAGTCAGGTAAGGCTGAAAATAACAATTATTTATTATTCACCACAAAAGTTAATCTATATATAAACGACAAGCCGTTGTTTGTGTCAATAATCAAACACAAAATCGTGTAGCCTAAAATAATAATAAAGCCAGTTTTTCTAGAAGACAGGTTAGCAAGGAAACAATTCAATTTGTCATCACGAACTAATAGCGTCGTAATGGTATCTAGCGCGGGTGCCTATAAAGGGGGTTCGCGCAGAGCATATATATTTTTTCTCCCACATTCAAAGAAACAACATCGAACAAACATCCGAAGCATTGTCATTGTTTTGGCATCACTCCACTTTAATCCTATACTATCCTATGGAGTTTAATCCTACTGTTCTGCTCCGACTGAGCTAATGAAGACGGACATACGCCATACAGTGTGCTATATGAAGGTAATTTTACCGCATAGTGGCACTACGGCCTACTTTTATATCATATTCCAACTGCCAAGGGATCTTTTACGTGATCCGAACGACTAGACGACTGTCCTTGTTAGGGCCTGCGCCCTGCACAACTGACAAGGGAAAAAAACGCATAACAGCAGAAATAATGGGGGGAGGGGGCAGGGAAGGGGGGGATCTGTTTGCCCCCCCCCCCCCCCCAATAATTTTAAAAAATAAAATAAAATATTTGTGATATGTTTCGGCAATCAGTACCTTCTACGGTGGTTAAATCCCGCATTACCACTTAGTCAAAAACTTGGATGTTGTAGAGTCTGATTGATTTCTTACCAAACCCAACCTGCTGTAACCCTACTGTAAACAATAACACGTCAACGAGTTGAGAAGTGCTTTATACCATACTCAAAGTTCTGGTGTGTAGGTTCAACGCAGCGAGAATACTCATTGACTTTGATTCCTCACGCCATTCGTTTGACACTTTCCCCTCTGGTCGGAGAAGCTAGTGATTTGGCTTCAGGCGGTATCTGGTCAACTCAATTTATTTCCAGCTACCCTCCGGCTTTGCCTCAGCTTTGCCCCCCCCCCCATCCACCAGCGCCTGGCGCCGCCACTGCACTCGATCTGCTCAAACTCCTGAATACACCCAGTGGAAAAGACAGTGAATATGTATCAGATGTGGATGCAAATCTTAAACGAGTCACTCCATTGCCGTAATGTCCGTTTTAATAATTTTTTAATGAGTCCAAATGATGAGTCTTTGGACTCACCGATATTGCCCATTGCCCTGTAGAATAAGTCGCTTCTGAGTCAAATTTGAAGGAGTACTGAGTCAAAAGAGGGTGGCTTTATATATTCTCACCAATTCTGAGTCAACAGATCCAGTTTTTGTTTTCGTTTTTTGTATTTTATACAAACATGTTCTAGAAAAAGAAAAATTTACTTTATTAGAAGATAGTTGAAGTATCTAACATGTGTTTTGGGTGAAGTTAATTTCAAACTATGACTCGAATTAAAACTTGACAATTGTTTAGGCACTCCCGTAAAATTTCAGCACCAACGTCCAAACGAATAAATCGCAAATAGATCTCGATCCACCGACACGCTTAATAAATATACTCAAAATCCTTAAATGTCACCAGAAGTACGGTTAGCAACAAAACCAATACACGGTATATGAACGAACAGCAGCTCTTTTCAACAGCAAACGTCAACAGATATTGTAGTTATCTCCCTTCCATCATATTATACTCTTCAAAAAAAAGTAGGGGATATTCAGAAACAATCCAAACTGGAGTCAAACTGCGGAAATGCACTGCTGTTTTTATTAGAGGTAACCAGTGGATGTAAATAACAGACCAATTGCCTACACATGAACATAAACAGTTCATATGGGCGGCTTATCTGACGGCCCCATTTCACTCGCAAAGAGATACACTGGCAAAAGTGAAAATGGACGTTTTTGATTTTTGTCTTAATATTGAGTAGGCCTATCCTCAGACATTCAGCAATTCGTCGTGGAATGCTCCTAATCAACCGTCCAATTACGATTTGAGACAATCTGACCCACTCCTCTTGCAGTGTCAGGGCCAATTCTTGCGGTGTTGTCGGTTGACGTTGACATCGACGAACACGTCTCCCGGTCCCAATACTCTAAGTATATTATTGTTTTCAACTAAAATCTTCGAATTAGGACTTAAAATTTCCGACAACTAGCTTAGTGTCTGTTCTCAAGCGGAGCTAAATGTAGATGGGCAGCCTAAGTTTAGTACTGTGCAACATTTTTCAGGCATTGATTATTGTTTGTGAATGCAGTCCCAACAGTCTGATTGGAATTCAGATCGGCATAGAGTGGGATTTCGATTGCAAAACCATTGGACAACTTTGAAGTTGCTTGACTCATGGGCTAGAACAGCAGAAACGCGCATCTATCTGTTGCGGTTAAATTTTCAAAATTTTCTCCTGGGAGTGGGGGGGGATTTCCCCATACCCCGCGACGACCGGCGCTCCGTGGATTAAACGACTGATTTAGTATCCCGGGCATCCAATGTCTTCCTTTCTAATCGCTTAACCTCTGCACGTCACTTGGCAAAAGTCGTATTTTATGACTATATAATATTGCATTTTAACAATATATTACTGGGTATAATGGAAATGCGGGGTTGGAGAGAATCACGTGACACCTAAATTAAGAACCGTCTGTTTTTCAGATAAATATTTGATGCTCATACTGTAATTATTACTGCGAGCACGCGAGATTTCTTTTATGACGATGATTGTGGCAAGAGAAATGGCGAGCTCCCATGCAATTTAATCACTTTCAGGAAATGGCAGGCCTTGTTTAAATGTAAAAAGCAACAACTATTAAAGTGACATATTAATAACATAAGACGCCGTAAATGGTAAAAGTTTCTGTAAAATGCCCATTACGTCTATTAAAGACACTTAATACATGATGCAGATTATACCCCTGTCGGGCTTCCGTTACTTTTCTCATCTTCCATAGCACGCATCTAATATACAATTATACACGAGTTTATGGATTTCTGTATTATGTGTAATATCTGATATAATGGGGGATATTAACTTATATCGTGCTCAAAAACAATTCAATGTCGTCTATAAATGGCCAATAAAAGATTTATTATTTTTTGTGAAAGATATAATACCATCCTACTTATTTAACTTTGAATGTGTACAGGTAAACTTAAAGGCACGCACACCTGTAAATTAGTCGTATAATGAAATGAAATGGGGTTTAATGCCTTACTTTTCGTTACCTAAACTCTTATCTTAATTCCGACTGTCAGTAGTTGTTTTATGTGCACGTCAGCGGGACCTGGGGTTTCCGTCCCATTCAAACGACTAGCAGTGTTCCTTGTCCTGCACCAGTGACAAGGAAAAGCCACGCCGGGAGTTAAAGGGGCTAAATCGCTAATATTTCTGACCTAGAAATTGACCCAAATGGGTCGCAACGCATGTAACAATGTAATCTGATTGAATATAAACTGATTTACATTCTATTGTTTCCATTTTGACTTTAATTTCAAATCAGTTATGTCCAGCGAAATATGGCATGAGTCTCAACCGACTGGCAATTTTTAGCGTCTGGTATTCCAGTCTATTGTGCATGCTCTCCAGATAAGATATGGCGTCACCGTTTGACATGAGTTGTGGAATATGTCTAGCCTCGTTCTTCCTGGTCACTTGTTACAAATGACGCTGAAACGCACTATGGTACACGAGGTACAAGATTCGTGTACCATTGGTAAAATGTTTATTTTGTCTTAAATATTGGATATCAGAAGCCCACCTTTTCCCTGTAAGATCACAACATCAATGTTGATTTGAATTGACACTAGACCTCCTTATTAACAAGCCAAAGCCTTTGACCCACTTTCCATGTACGCGTTTCCATAAGAGCGTTTCATCGAGCGAGAATAGCGCACCGAAAAAAAAAGTTACTTGATGAGCCACTGCGGCTCCACCATTTCTAATACTAACTGGGGGGATATTTCTGCTGACGTTGTGAGCTGCACACAAACACGTGGAAAATGAAGGTATGTCATCCTAATTCTGATCGAAGCTCATTCTCGCGACTGAGCCCTTGCGCGTCAGGCCCAATGCCCCAAGTAAATTTATTTACTCGGTAACATGCGTAAATAAGTACAGTCTCGGACAATATTCTTTAACAAATTAATTATTTGTTCGTAACTTACAAGAAAAGAGGATATTACTATTATTTTCATTGTACTGTAGAGCCC